TGCCAGAGTGCAGGACACAGAATAATCAACTCAGGTTGTGACAACTCAGATTCAGGCTGGACGTCAGGAAAAGCTTCCTCACTGTCAGAGCAATACGGCAGTGGAGCCAGCTGCCTAGAGAGGTGGTGGGCTCTCCCACACTAGAGACGTTCAAGGTGAAACTTGACAGCCATCTGAGTGGGATGGTGTAATGTGGTGTCCTACAACACTAGCGGGCTGGACTCAGTGGCCTTCATGGCCTCTTCCAACTCTACTACTCTATGATTCTGTGAATAGTGGTCAGTGCTGTTGATACTGCTGGACATTGGAGAAGGTAGGGATGAAATGTGGGACCTTCTAGACCCTCATGGACAGACTGAGGCTGCCATCCGCATGGCACTGTGATACCCAGGGACTCAACACCTCCATGGGATCTTCATCTTGAGAAGAACAGGCAGACACGAGTGACTATTTTGGCTCAGGGCTCTGCTAAGCTCTCAGAAGAGGCAGGACTTATCTCTCAGTTTGGGATCCAGGAAGACTTGGGGAGCTCTTTGTCTCCAAGAGAGACTGCTGCCATCCCTCATCCGTGCAGGCCTCCTCTGCCTCAGCATCACCAGTGGAGCAATCCAAGGCTTGGGGCATAACAGTAGGTCAAAGAAAGGAGATTCTTACTTGGTCTTAGGTTTTCTTAAATCCTCTCAACCCAGGTATGCCCAGCCATGCTGATTACGTGAGAGTCACAAGGAAGGTTATAGCTTTTCAGCCTCCGAGTAGGCCAAGCCTGTCCTTGGGCTCTGTAAACCTCTTATTTTTGCTGCTTGCAGGGGACTGCAAAGGGACGATTTCCAAGGCCCGTCAGGCCCTCTGTGTATGTTTGGTGAGCTGTGTTTGGCGTAATAGGTCCCGTGCTGTGTAGGTGTGGTGTTGCCTTATGTCTCCCTGTAGCTGAATGCACTACCTGGAGAAACCAAGTCCTGAATGTCTCTGCTCACCCACCAGCAGATGGCCATTGGGACTGCACACCCACTGTACCTCCTGAGCCAGCTGGCAGGTGAACCCAGGGTGGGTTTCATCCTCTGCTTCCCCAGCTCCAGTCTGTTAAGTGCATTGCTGCTGATTTCCATGGACTGTAACAAAGCACCTGGAGGCAGAAGCTGGCTTTCCTTTTGCACAGTGTGTTTGCAATTACCAAGGCCACTCCAATCCCCTTGTCCCCTATATTAATACAGTCCTCCCACCCAACCCTCCCTGTGACATATAGTTGTTTCTGTAATTAGCATCGGGGAGCTCTCACCAAGCTTTGATTCTAATGGGAGATCCTGGCAGCGCAACCCAGGCCCACTGGAGGCCACTTGAGAGCTCTGTCGCGGTCCCCCGTCTATGCCAACTGGCAGCGTGATGGCTGCTGGGCAACCGAGGAGCAGCTGAGAGGCTGCCGTCAGCTCTTGCTCTCAGATGGGCAATTGAGGGCAATGGGCACCTGAGAGGGTTTTGTTTCAGTGCAGCAATTTTTATACAACCATATTCTGCTAATTATTGGCAGCAGTTTCCAAATGATTAAAATGAAAAATTTCTCCCCACAACCTTCATGTTTGGTTCAGGTGTTTTAGTTTGGTTAGAAAGTTGTAGTTGCCTCTTTCAGATTAAGAGCTGAGAACTTTATGCTTGTTTTCATAATCGCAAGACTAGATATTGACCTGGTTGGCATAAGAAACCATCCACCATGCAGGGGCTATCATGTCGTGTCCATGGGTGTCAGCTTGCTGTGACTTGTCATATTGTACAAATCTAGAGAGTAGCTGTTGTTTGAGGGTGAGACAACCCTCAAAAAACCCATGGCTTGTTTCAATCTGCAGTGGGTTGTTGTGACATGCAAACAGTTCCTTACCATAATATGCCCTGTAGGGGACATAACAATTGCCCAGAAGAGGGTAATAATGCAAAAGATACCACCTCAGCTTAATCTGGGCCATTAGAAATAATAAAACTGATATTCCAGGATCTGCATTCTCTCTTACAGTGCACTGTTCATGACCTATAAGCTCCGAAATGACTTGGGCATGATATCCTAAGCAATTTTTTTGTTAATTACATAACCCAAGGACAAACTCTCTCCCTGTGCATGGTTATTAGAGAACAATTTTGTTTTGGTGATGGTAGAGGTGAAACATCCCTGGAGTGAGGGATTACCCCAGAAAGAAGAGTGGAGCTGTTCTCCCCAGAGGGGGTCTGTAACACCATCATCTTCCACATGATGTTCATTTCATTGCTTCCATGATAAAGGTTTGCCTCCTCATTGCCAGCCATCAGACCTCAAACATTGTCAAGGACCGCAACTCTTTGACCTCTGTTTCTGTAGCATTAATACAATTTTATCTCTCTCTGCTGTTCAGGAAAGTTCACCGAGTGTCTTTGGATACATGCTTAATTGGATCTATTTCAGAGTGAAGGCAGGTACAAATACTCATGCAAAGGGTTTTGAGAGTAGGCGATAACGACTACTTTCAGCCATTTGGCCTTATGCTAAGGTTTATACATCTGCTATTATCTATACAGGTGTGGAAGAGTGGGGAGAGATAAGATTGCATTAATAATACAAAAACAAATAATACAGAGTTCTGTTCCACAACATTTCAGGCATCTGCAGCAGGGCCTCAGATAATGAACAGAGCAAGGAATGTGGCCGAAAAAGATGGCGGTCCTTTAAGCACCCAGTTTTCAGTCATTTAGAGTTTGAAAGGTTAAAACCAGTAACTGAAATAGGGCCTACAAGCTAATGGGCATCCAGGGAAGGTAAAAAATAAAGGGTGCAAGAAGAGACTACCATTTGGATTTTCTCCTGTGGAACTTCACTCTGCATTTAGGGTTATCCAAGTAAGCAGATTGACTAAAGCCTGTGCATCAGCCACTGTAGGAGAGGCGACTGGAACTGGCAGGGGATCCCCTGAAAGCAACAAGTGTCTCTGGCTGCAAAAGAAAAGCCCTTTGCTCATATAACATTTTTTGCTTGTGCTGAGAGAAATATGCACCTGTCTGATTGCTTTGTATGCAAATTACAACAATCGCAGGCACACCAATCAATCGATACATATTTGACCTGCTCACTTTGATGTTGATTTACAACAGGCATGGGCTCCATCATGCAGCAGAACAAAATGGGAGATCTGGCAGGCACAGACTACATCCTATGTTATTACAGATAGGTGCGATTTACTACATCCCAAGCTGTTTCAAGAAAGTGTACTAATTGCTTTCTCAGCACATAACATGATCTACTTCCACCAGGCCTAGCAGACCAGAAAATATTCAAGGTGTGAACATCTCCTACTTTTAGACCTCCTTCCATACTGTATAAGAATTTTGGACCAAATCAGAAAAAAAATATGGACTCTGGCGTGAAGCTTTCAAGTGGATGATCTGTTGATGATGTAATTAGAGACAATGCTAAGCTTGGAAATGCTCCAATGTAGAAGCATATATCCTAAAGGAAATCAACCCTGACTGCTCTTTGGAAGGTCAGGTACTAAAGCTGAAGTTCAAATACTTTGGCCACCTAATGAGAAGGAAGGACTCATTGGAAAAGACTCTGATGCTGGGAATGATTGAAGGCAAAAGGAGAAGGGGATGGTAGAGGTTGAAGTCATTGGAGAGTTGGTGTGGGGCTGAGCATACTCCGGGGGATGGTGGAGGACAGGAGAACCTGGAGGAAGGTTGTTCATGGGGTTGCGAAGAGTCGGGCATGACCTTGTGACTGAACAATAAGAAGCATAAGGGCCATATTTACAGAAGAAGTGGGGGATGTAGGCAGGAGGTGGGCTTCTTTTAACAGTAAAAGGGACTATGTATTGAATTGTCCCTCTCCTCTTACATTTTAGCTCCCTGTGGTTTCCTTTCTCCATTCCAGTCTGTGATGCTAGAAGAGAGCCATGAACACAGATATGTGGCTGAAGGAAAGAGCTGAAGGGGTTTGTGTAGAAGCCTAGGAGTTCTTGCCCATCACTGTATTTGAACAGGATGGACCTATGGAAAGATGCTTGTCCCTGTCACATCTAGTTTGGTCTTAATATTTTTCAAAAACGTTGGAAGACCCTTGAGATTTATAAGGTGCTGCCTGAAGAATCACTAAAAGAGGGCTGGAATGTATACATCGTTACAAGCTGTGAAACCTAGTGAGGGTTGGAAAAACAAGATAGTTGAATATGCAGTGATGGCAAAATTAACCAACTATGTAAATAGAAGACCAATCAAAGATTTTAATGATAAATGAGAAGCTTATTATACATATCTTAATAATTGAGATGAAAAATGGAGTTTAAGTAAGGATGATTAAGCTGATACATCTTCTAATAAGTCATAAAAAGTAAATCCAGTTAATTAATTTAGTTACAAATGGAAAACTTATTCATGTTTATTTTTCATAATTGAGAAAAATGAATTTTTGGATATCATTAATGTATAATACACATAATGATTAGAGTTGTATAATTTTGAAACAAGGAAAGGAGGAGAAGCAGGAGAAGGGGAGATGGGTGAAGAAGGGAGGCGGAGAGGAGGAGAGTGGGGAAAGAGGGAAAATATTGTTAATTCTAATTTGGCTTCTGAATACGCTCTGAGGTGAATCACAGCTTACCTATTGTCTATGTTAAAGCAGTTTTTCATGTGAAATTATTAGTTTTATTTGACTACTTAGCAATTTAATTGAGCATTATTTATAACTATGTATTATCATGTAAAATTGTTATAAGCTTAGATGAAATAATGACTATTGCTGATTCTTTGTGAAACTTCCCATATTTAGTTTGATAAGGAATCTAGTATGAGGTTCCTTGATAACTTTTTCTTTTTGATTCTCTGTTTTTCTTTCTGTTTCTTATTATTTACAAAAAAAATAGAAAATTAAAAAAAATTACAAGCTATGATGAGCAATCATGTCAAATGATGGAATGCACTGTTATGCCGCCAGCATAAAGTATAAAAGTATAAACATCTCTGCTTTTATTCCAGGGCACAGGACTTTATATGTTGGAGTACGGATGCCTTTAGTGAGACAGGGTCACAGACATCACAGACCTCATGGCCAGAAACACCGCAAGCGAGATCGGGCAAAGGAAAACATTCCAGATCAGGAGTCCCATGGTAAGTATAGCTTCCGTATAGCCTGAAGTTCCTGATCCTATGTAATCCTGGAAGTTAAGCAGGGTTGGGCCTGGTTGAAATCCGGATGGGTGACTTAAATGTTCCAAACTGCCCAGAGAGCTTTGTCTATGGCAGGTATAGAAATGTAATGCGATGATGATGATGATGATTTCTTTTTAAATCTGTTTCCCAAGACTCTTAATGAGGATCACACTGATTCTCCCCTTCTAGTAATACGCTGTAAATTTTACTTGCCATCCCTTTCATCCACATATTGTTTTGCTTTTTGTAAAATTATATCTTCAAATTCAGTATATTCTCTGCATTTACCATTTTTCTTCAACCAATCTTTAGTCCAATGATCTAATTAAGTATATTATACCAAGTTACTTGACTCTGTCCCAGTATTACCTCATTTCTTTACTCTAACCAATCTTTCAACCTAATAACATGTTTATTTTTCAGTACTTCCCTCTCTTTGCTGGAGAGCCATAACATGGGGTATACTAAGCCCAGCCTTCCATGTTTAGCTTTGCTATGCTGGGACCAGCCTGGGGCAAATTGCTCTGCCCGTCCTGAAGAGGGAAAGAAGACCACATGCCTCTAAGTGGCCAAGGATTCGGTGGGTGTCAGGCATGGTGGGGCAGTGCAGCTGAGGCACTCAAGCATTATGTGGGACTGTGGTGAACCTGCCAGCTCAAACTGCACAGCAGGGAATCGAAAGGATTAACCCAAATGCAACGCTGTCCAAACTAGGGATGGTGGTGTAGAGTTCTGCAATATTCTCTGTTGTCGCTGCACTCCTGGTTTAGCATGAAATGGCATAATGAAGAGCACAGGCTGTTGCTGCCTTTGCACAAAACTTTATTGTCTGGATTATCATATAATATACTTCCCCACGTTGTTCTTTAGGCTGAGCTGCTGCTGCGAAGAATGAGCTCCATGTTTAAAAACATCACAGGGCTTTTCTCAGCCTTGCAGGACATCTCAGAAAGGGATCCACCGTGTTCTTGCCACTTTTCTCCTTGCCTTTATCCTCTCCTTATATTTGCTTATTTGTTTTTTATATCCCATCCTGTTAGATACTCCATCTCAGCGAGTGCAGTTTATTCTTGGCATGGAGGAGGATGAGGAACATGTGCCCCATGACTTGTTCACAGAGATGGATGAAATCTGCATTAAAGAGGGCGAAGAGTCAGAGTGGAAGGAAACGGCAAGGTAAAATGACAGGTGGTGGTAGCGATGCAGCTTCCTGTGCAGCCAGCCATCGCCATGAGACTAAACCAGAAGCACAGTGTGAGCCCATAGAAAGAAACCCTAACAGAACCAGGTACATTTCCCCTTTCCGCGAGAAGGGAAGGCCAGTCAGGTAGATGGCAAAATGGAATGTTGATTCTGGGCCTTCTTTAGTGTGACTGACCTGGAATAGCAGGCAAATCACCACAGCAACTTTTCCATGCATGTGTAATGTAAAATGCAAAAGAAAGACGGACAGAAGTACACCGTTCTACTCTGGACAGAATTTGGCTGCCCAGGATTTCCTGTCAGGAATTCCTCCAGGCTTTCAGTTGCAGAATCGCTTCCTGGTTTCTCAGATGGCAGGATCTGTTCTTGCTATGCTACTGTCAGATCTAATGGAAATGGGTGGGTATGGATGTTTCCTCCATGTTGTCAGTCATGCTGGCCATGCACAGAAGCTTCCTGTGTCAACATGAGACGACAATGTCACTGTATCAGGTCAGCTCACGTGGCTTCTGTTCATTGGTGCTTCAACCTATGAAGCCGGGAAAAGCTTTCAGACTTGTGTCAGGATCTTTGGAATGCCACTAAATCCAATTTCTGGACTAGCTTGTTTCTGCTGGGCTCATTCTACTAAGCTGCTGTCAGAGCCTATTCTGACTAGATTGCACTGGTGTCTCTAGTTTAGAAATGCACTTTCAGACCTATTCAAAATACATGAGTATATATATGCTAAGTAGGAAATAGCAGTTGCCAAGCTAATATAAACCAAACCACATCACACGGGCATCATTGGCTTGCATAATAGCCTGATAATGCCACCTTGTGGCAGAAGAGATGTCATTGCCAGCTACATACAGGGTATGTAGTAGCTTACTGGTTTTTCTTTTCAAGAAATTTACTCTCCCTTGTCTCTGCTGTTGGTTTACATATGTATATGTCTGAAAGAATATCAGAAAGAATATCTGAAAGGATGCCTCTATCCATTTAAGCCTACCTGGACCCTGAGATTGTTATCAGAATCCTGCTCTGGCTGCCTGAGGCAGGGCCTTCTCAGTTATGGCACCCCATCTATGGAATTGACTTCCCAGAGATATTAATCAGGGGCTGTCCTTATATATATTCTGGTGCCAGACTAATACTCTTTTATTCAAGGAGCATTTTAATTGTTGATGATTTTAGTTGGTATTCAATTTTAATTATATTTTAATGCAAATTTTAATATTCTTAATTGTGACATTTAAGATAATTCTAGTCTGTTGTTAAATTATTATTTGGTGTTCCTGCTATGATGTTACATTATTCTATTATTGATACTGTGGTTTTAATTGTGTTATTTATGAAGTCCTATGTTGTCGGTTTTTATTATGTAAACCGTCTAGAGAGGCTACAAGAAGGTATACAAAAGTGGCAAATATATCACTCTCTTGCCTGAGCACCAACCTTACCTAGCCTGCTTCTTGAGCCCCATCACTGTTTTCCTTTGAACCATGTACATGGCTTCTTTTTCAGCCCTGCCGATGGTCGTGTACCTTGGTGTGACTCCTCATGGTTCATTGCTCCAGGAAAGAGCAGTCAGTAGAAGCCCGTCTTCAGAGCCCATCTGTTGCCAGGCACTTTCACCTGTCAGGAAGTTGTCCCTCACTGTTTTGTTCTGCAGCACTGATACATCACCACAAGCACCATCTTGTCACATCCTATCTTGCTTTTAATTCAGTAGTACCTATTTCTGACTCAGAAAGTACATGTAAATCAGATCACAGGGAGGCACTCAAACACCAGGCCTGGCCAAGAATTACCTCCCATCCCAAGTAACTTTTCTAAGTGCTTCTCTAACAGTGGTGCCATCAGAGTTGCAAAAGAAAAACTGCAGCAAAGGTGGCTTTGTTGTGGCAATGTTTTAAAACATAATAATAGTGCTTTTAAGGTATGCTCATCACTTGAAAATAAATAGAGCAAAGGGGGCTAGTTTTGGTTATGTGTAGGTAGATAAATATCCTCAGGACCTCTCTAGGTCTGGAAGAATCAAAAATGGAAGGCTTTCCCTGCTATACCCAGCAGGTGGCTTATAATATTGATGCTGCTGAGAGACAATTGCAAGCAGTTTTGCCCTGCCAAAAAGAGTCCACTCTTCACTCACATTAATGCAGAAAATGTTCCTCAGTCTCTCTGGGCTTTGCTGCTCAGCTTAACATAGCTGAAACACCTGAAATCTTTGACACAGTAAAGCCTTTGCAAGTGTTCTGGAAAAGCATGCACTGATGGCCGAAACCTGGGCCATTTGGCTAGATCCTTTTCCTTTTGCCATTGATTCGGGCTTCCTATGTGTGCATCCATCCCTTGCAGGTGGGTGAAGTTCGAGGAAGATGTGGAAGATGGCGGCGAGCGCTGGAGCAAGCCGTATGTGGCCACTCTTTCATTGCACAGCCTCTTCGAACTGAGGAGCTGCATCATCAATGGGATTGTCCTTCTGGATATGACTGCGAACAGCACAGAAGACATTGCAGGTGCTGGTTTGGGTTAATTCAGAGAGCAGAGAAAAGGGAAGCAGCAGGCAGAGCCTTCCTGCAGGGCCAAGCCTCCAAGAGCCAGTCCCCAGCACTTTCCCTGGCTGGACTGGGAGACCCTCCAGACATGGTTGGGCTAGGGGCCGCAGCAGTCTGGTTTGGTAGGGGGCAACCTCATGAGTTCATATTTGGGCTGGCCTAGGTACACCCAGCTTTGGGGTTCATCTATTTTATTGGTCCTCCAGAAATTGCATGTGGGATTTTGGGAGGGGGTGCTATGGCAGATGGCTGGCTCTTCCTTGTCTTTTTAATTTTTTTAAATGCCACACATGCAACTTGTGGCCGCTAAAGCAGAATTAGCCTGCTGCTGTGTTCTTCCATTCCCCCAACCCCTGCAAAAAAAATGAAAGAAAAGATGCTAGCTGTGTGATGCTAGAATTATTCCAGGAGGAAAGGGTGATGGATGGAGCTCGGCTCTTCAACTTTGCAGCGTTTCTTAATGAGTAAAAATAAAAAGAGAGGAAAAAGACTTGCCACCCAGTGTACTTTGCTGACTCTAACATCCAAGCTCATTGAAATGTTTCAGCTCTTTACCTTCAAAATCACCACGATTCTCCCCCTGCACCAACTTCCCTTTCATGAACCAGGCTGGTAATTCTGAGTGGTGCAGAGCTGGGGCTTGGCTTAGCCCTAGTCACATATGCCAAACAGGCATCCTCCCATTCATTAATAGTGGACAGAACTCAACCCACAAGCTTCGTTGCTCTCCAGCACCTGCCAGTGGAAGCAGCAGCCCCTCCCCTGTGCATGGATCCAGTTGCAAGGCTTGCTGAGTTACTGCCTCTCTGCAGGTGTGACGGGCTTGGAGAACAGAAAGTCAAGGCAGGGTAAGTTAGCCTTCTCCAACCTGGAGCTCTGCAGATGTGTCGTCCTGCAACTCCCATAATTTCCACCCAGCTTGCCCATTGGCAATGTGCCGTGTTGGCTGAGAATTATGGGAGTTGCAGAACAACACATCTTCAGGAATTCAGGCTGGAGAAGTCTGGCCTAACCATGCTTGAAAGGAAGTGCTGTTCACATTCCAAAGCATTTCCTCTTAAAAAAAAAAATGCTTGAGATGCTGAGACACTGCACCATGCAAAGAAGGTTGAGCCAGTGTGGTCTGAAAGGCAGTGAAAGCCAGTATTAAATTACTTTAAATTAGTAGCACAGTATATTTGGCTCTGATTAGTGCTGTTAGATTAGTTTGCAAGCTGACAATTTCCCCCAAATCATGGTTTTATTATGGAAGGTACCAGTGGGGTACGCTTGCCAGAAATAATGCATGTGTGTTGTATACTACATATTTCTAAGAAATACTGTTAAGGGTTTTTTTTTAAGTTAATGTTTTTCAGGCATTAAGAAAATCAAGTTGCAATGCCGTGTCTGTTTACACTGTAAAAGGAAACTTGGAACCCCAGCGCTGACCTCGGACAAGTGTTTTAAGGTTGGCGCTGGGCTCCGAAACTGGGGCATCACTGAAGTGCTTTGAGGGGCAAGGAAATCATGGAGGCATCTCCCAGCCTCTCACCCTCCAGTAGTGCCTGTGCTCCTCTGAGTTTTGGGCAGCCCTATTAAACTGTACCTGTTACATCCTAGAAAATATTATCCTCTCATGACTGGCAGTCTTTGAAACCTACTCATTACAAAATTCAACAAAATACTGGTAGACCCAAACGCTTTGGAAAACACTATTTGTTGTAACAAAACTAGCTGAACTCCACCAGGAAGTGTGTTATTTAGAGGATGATGAAAAAACTATCCCGAGCTGTTAAATCTGTATCATTTGGTAGCTGGCAAGCTGCATGTTGCATTGATCAAAGGCCTGCGTGTATCCCCCATGGCTTCTTGATCAAACAGGAAGAAATTTGGACAGGCCATTAGTTTTCAGAGATAGTTTCGTTTAGCCTGATAAACCAAAGTAATGTGTTTCTGTGGAAGAGAGAATGGGGCTCTCTCCTCTCCTCTCCCCTTTTCTCCTCTCCTCTCCGCTCCACTGGTTGCTCCTCACTCCTTTCTTCTCTCTTCTCCTTTTTTATTCCATGAAAGCAGTTTTGTAGAAATGAGTTCTTGATTGGTAAGATTTCATCATCCCTTTTGTTAACTGATGACGTCAGATTCTTAGCATATTTTCTTCCCATAAGGATTGCCTGTAAAAGTCAATTATGCAAGATATTTCAGGAAGGCATTGCGTTACAGATTGCTTATAATTTGATTAGATGTGCAGAGAAATAAAACTAACTCAAATTGCAGAAGTGAACTGCATTATCTAAAATGGGGTTGCAGATGAATTATTTTGACAGTGACCAAGTATTTCAGCTGGACGTATTAGCTAAAAGAAAAACATGTTCCTTCCTGATATGGACAGACGGACTGTCTGTCTGATAGCTTTCTGTAACACAATGCAAATATTGTTGATTTCTGGGACTCTTGTATCTGAGTGTTTTTTTTTCTAAACTCTGGAATTAAAAGCAGATCTTGTGTCTACCCAGACATAGGACAAATTGTGCTCAGTTGATTGTTTTGCTGGCTTTGTTGGTGTGTGTGTTTGCATTTGCTTTGCATTATTGCAAAGTGGCTGCTTCCCTCCCACCATCCCACACAGTAGTTGCTGAAGAACTTACCAGGTGTAGGCACGGTCCTCTGTAGGCCATGCATCAAAGTCAGCTGTTGTTATCCTTCTGGAAATTTAGAGCATGAGCAGAACTTACCAGTTGGCTATAGTGTAAAGATGGGATCACTCCACACGGTTTTGATCTCATTTAACAAGCCCTTAAATACATCCCATATGATTGCTGTCAGCCTGATCTATTTACAGATGGTTCTTCTGGTTTGGTAGTAAAGCAGAACCTGCCAGACATGCTTAAGGTCCAGTCTCCACTCCCTTCCTCCTCCACAGAAGAGATCTCAGTAATCAAGATTTCTCCCTAGGACCATGGAGAGTTGCTGCCAGTTAGGCTGATAAGTAGAGGTTAGGTTGAAGTTAATAGTCTGATGAATGGCAAGTCAGCGCTTCCTATGCTTTTCTTGTTAAACATCTCATGAAATAGTCAGAAATCAGCAATGAATATAAAAATATATATTTTGGGGCCTATGCTTTATTGACCTATCCTTCTTTCTTTCATCCTTTCATTTTGACACACACGCACACACACACAGACTCACTCACTCTCGCTTTCACACTTGGAAGCCCCAGCAAAAACACTTCTGTACTTCCTCAGCTTCCACACAATATCCCCCATCTCCCATCCCATTGTACTCAGGTGGTTGCATTCTGCCTTTCATATTTGCTCCAGATCCCAGATATTTGCTTTCTTTATTTTAAATGACTTTTAATAAGGATTCGATCAGATGACGCCAACTTGGATGCCTTCAGGTGTTTTGGACCACAACTTCCATCATCCCTGTCTAGTGGTTACATGGTGACTGAGCTGGTCAAGGTTGCAGCCCCAAACATCTAGAGAAACCCAAGTTGGGAAAGGCTGGGTCAGACAATGGCTACCAGTCATAGAAGCTACATGACACCTTCATATTCGTTGGCAGTATTGCCACTAAATACCAGTTATGCAGATAGTCAAGCGGGAGGAAACATTACCATCTTGTCATTGTGAGCTTCCTAGATACATCTTGAAGCTAGATGTATCTTGGTTTGATCCAGCAAGGAACTGTTGACATTCTGCCATTACTAAGGACCAAACTTGATTCAGTGTTAGAAAAGCCGTGCTGGATCAGACCAATGGTCCATTCAGTGCAGCACTCTGTTCTCATGGTGGCAAATCAGCTTTCCACAGGACTGCTCAAGCAGGATGGGTGCAAGAGCTCCTCCTGCCCAAGCTCTTCAGCGATTGGTGTCTGCAGGCCTGCCGCCTCTGGTAAAGAAGGCAGTGCAAGGCTAGTAGCCACTGATATTCTCCTCCATCATGAATCAGTCCAATCCCCTTTCAAAACCATCCAGTTTGGTGGCCATCATTACTTCCTGTGGCAGTGAATTCCATAGTTTAAGTATATGCAGTGTGAAGAAGTGCTTCCTTATATCTGTCCAAAATCTCCCACCTGACAGCTTCATGGGGTGACCCTGGGTTTGAGCGTTATAGGAGACAGACCTCTCTACTTCTTCCACATTGTACATTATTTTAAATACTCTTTCATGTCCCCCCTTATCTTTTTTTAAAGCTGAACAGACCAACTTGTTGTTGAAAATACTGTGTGTGTGTGTGTGTGTGTGAGAGAGAGAGAGAGAGAGAGGGAGGGAGGGAGGGAGGGAGGGAGGGAGGAGCAGGGAGTTAAGCCTTTTCTTCTCTGTTGCAATCCTGACAAAAATTGTCCCTCTGAAGCTATTTGCATTGGGAGGAGAACACCTGTTGGCATCAACTGTGCAACAATTACTTAGCATAATGGTTAATCCAACCTAAGCATCCAAAAGATGTTTCATTTAGAAATGTACTTGCCCCTTCTTAATCAAAACTGTATTCATCTGCGTTGTATTGGAGTAACTCAGCAGATCTCCCTTTCAGACATGGTTCTGGATCAGCATGAACCTTGTAGTGATTTTGATGAAAGTGTCCGTAAGAAAGTCTGGGAAGCTCTCCTGAAGAAGCATCACCACCAGAATGAGAAGAAGAAAAACAACCTCCTCCCCATTGTCCGCTCTTTTGCTGAAGTCGGCCAGAAGAAGTCAGACCCACACTCGATGGATAAGACAGGTGACAATTTTGGGGCCCTGGCTGCCCTGCTGCAGGCCGTAACACTGCCTTATTATGATCTGGGTTCTAGTCCCTGCTCAGCCTTGGAGCCAACTGGGTGACTTTGGGCCAGTCTCAGCCTATCAACCCAACCTACCTCCCAGGGTTGTTGTGGGGATAAGATGGAGGAGGAGAATGATGTAAGCTGCTTTGATGTCTTGAAAAAAGAAAAAAGATTTGATTTAATGTGAAGGATTTTTTTCTCCTAGAAATTTCCTGGAGCACTTGCAAGCATTTACAAACAATTTTAACATATAGATAGGGCATCATTCAGCGTGGCTGCTCGTAACCCTCGAAACTCAAAGAATGATGGGCATCCAGTGGGAGGCAAGAGGAGCCCTCCGAAACACACGAGCAGCTTAAGTGCTTAAGTGTCCCACCCCTGCTTGCAAGGATGGGGGGCAGAGGCTCCGCTGGGAGCCTTTTTTCCCATGGGAGCCTTTCTTCTTCCCCCCACTGCTTCCCCAGGGCCAAGCCTGGCACTGCATTGCTCCTTCAGAGCCACAGCCAGTGCAGAAAGCACTGCACCCGCCATGAGGGTGGAGGGAGTGGACCTTGAATTCAGATGTCCTGCTCTGGCTGCAGAGCACTCTGCTGAGGCTGTTGCTGGGGCTGCAGACTTTCCTGTGGGCATCCAGTTGGTGTCTAATGATTACTCCCTTGAAACAGTAACATGACTAGGAACAGCATAAAAACAGCAATGAAGGGCATCAAATTAAATTGAATGGCTTGGCACCAGAATGACGTCTGTATAGGACCTTGGAGAGAGAGCATTCCCGAATAGGGGAGCCACAACTAAGAAGTCTCTACTGCTTAGTTCAAGATTAATGTGAAAAATGGCTCTTCTAAATAGAGCGCAGCTAGATCTTACACTTACCATAGTGCAGGGGCTGACACCTATGCAAGGTTTGTGAAATTGAAGTAACAGCTTAAGACAGGAGCTTTCAACCTTATTACAGCTGGGGACTGGCAAAAATAGGAAGTCTTTTTGGGGGAACACTGAGGAAAAAATAAAAAGCATTATATACATAATATAGTGTTTTGTGTATTAGTTTTTAAATATAATACCAAAAAATGATGATTCTCTAAAACAAGCAGAAACCGAGCAGTAAAAATGCTAATAAAAGAATAAGGTGAGCCATCCTTCAGGCGTTCCTGCTGATCGTAGCTCCTTGTCAGGCGGCACAAGGCCCAAGCCAGGCAGCTTGGGGCCACTTGCACGGCATGCTGAGGGGGCAGGAGCAGCGATGGCAGTGGCGGTATTCTCAGAGCCAATCATAGCAGGAGGGGGGAAAGAGCTGGCACGGATCAGTTCCCCTAGCGATGAGCGATGGCAGAAGCCCTGAGCAAGCGGGAAGAACCAGATGAATGTTCTGCAGCTCCTCCTCAGAGCTTTTTCACAGACCGGCAGGAAATCGCCGGTGGGCCGCCACTGGTCCACAGACTGGCGGTTGAAAACCACTGGTTTAAGAGATTTCCCTTTCTTCATGCTCTTGCCATTCCCATGAACAAAACCATGGAGAAAACCGAATATTCTGTGTAATTTTTTGTTAAGAAAGACGTGTGCATGTATATAATTTCATGCATATAAATGTGCACTGTGTGGAAATTGTTCCAGTGATAGGGACAAGTTGGAACTAATCATTCCAAGAATAACTAAGCAATGAAAAGAATTGTCTCATATTTTCCTCCTAGGAATGAACCCACTGAATCTCCAGCCTCCTTCTCACTCCTTAGATGTCAGAAATGGACTGAGCCATGATACTACCCCAACGGACTTGAGCAAAGTAACAGCATTTTAAAAATCATTTTCCATTCCTGCTTGACTTTTTCAAAGTGAAAAAGATCACGTAAAACACAATGCAGATTTTTTTAAAAAATGATAAAATCAAACAACTTAAAGGGAGGAGAAAACCTTCACACTTTTGCCAGCGGTTTGCATTTTTTTTCCTGAAGGTCATCAAATTAAGTTTTTGATAAAGGCGAGTGTCTCTAAGGTGTTCTGACTTTAGTTCACTAAAGAGGAAACTCAGAAGCCTTCCAGATCTTGTTTACGTAACCCACTCATGCGTCTTCAAAGTCACAAGATCAGACTCCTCTGCCATCTCTTATGTTTAGTTAAAATACATGAGAAGAAGATCTAATGAATAGGCTGGATCTAAACTGGCTGGATCCAACCTAAGGCTCTTGCAAATGAAAGGATTCCTAATTTTCCTCTGCAAATGGCTTGCTGCTGTAACAAGTCATTGCAGAGTAGGGAATGTCATATTTCTCTTGTAGCATCTCGTCCTGCCATCAGCCTTGTACTCTGGATGTGTTGAGTTACCAGGGTTATATGAAATCTGGACAGATCATGTGGCGCTTTACCCAAGTGGCCAAAAAGATCGGTCAGTTAGGGAAATATAATCTCTGCTTTATCGTTCTTCAGATAATTATTACAAAGGAAGATATTTCAATGAATATCTTTCATGTAATTTGGGGTCATAGAGAAAACTCTAGAAGTTGTATGCTGATTTTAGACTGAAGAATCTGCTAGGATTGAAGGAAATGTTTCGTACCACACACAAAAACAGAATTCCTATAGATCACCGATAATGTACCTGATCTTTTGTACAAATTTGCAGCTGTGCAGTTTTGGAGTCCCATTTAAAAAACTTTTAATAGCATTTATTTTGGACACTTTCACACAGCCAATCATATTTGGCTACATGAGACCAAACTAAATGAAGCCCCCATACACATCACTTTCACCCTGGTGGGCTTCCTCAGCCAAGTGGCTTGAGTGCTAATGTCAGTGTTAGCTGGAGGAGCTCGTTTTCAAATGAGCAATGAACCTGACTGTGCAACGAGATAATAGAGCAGATGTGGTGCGCAGCAGATCTGGTGCACAGTGGCATCTCACCTGGATGTGTGTGGGGTTGGTGCGTATCTGTGCAGTGTTTCCTTGTGGGGGAAAAATGTGGTAGTCAATGAACAAAGAAAGTTCTGAGCCAACAGGGGAGTACACTGCAAAATAGTTGTCAAATGCAAACCATTTCATTTCAGCCCTAGAAATTATGCCTTGTTCTTTGGAATTAGGCAGAACTTCATTTTATGAAGAAGATCCCTGTGGGAGCAGAAGCTTCCAATGTTCTAGTGGGAGAGCTGGATTTCCTCACTCGACCCATTGTTGCCTTCGTGCGCTTAACACCAGCTGTTCTGCTTCAGGGCATGACTGAGATTCCACTCCCGACCAGGTAAGAATTGGTGGCATAGGAGTGAGGTTAATAATGGCAGTGATGATAATCCTTTTTGACCATTTCTATGTACCCATAAAATTATGTGCCCCATTTGCCCAGTTGTTCCCAGAGACCTTGTTGTTACAGAATTTGTAACGTTAGGTTTATTTTTTATTTATGTTTATGACTTGGGGGAAAATGATTTTTGGGATATGGACATGGTAATGGCAGGTAGACCAAGACATGAGGGGTGAAGAGAGAAGCATTAGACTTAAAATGTCACAGTCGGGAAAGATTTCAACCTCCCAATCTAGGGAACTTCTGACTTGCCTAAGCGATCTCTGTGTTTCTGAACTTTGAGCAGAAATCATCAACAGACTTTTCTGTCTTTGCTCCTGAGTCAACAAAGGAGATATTTACTTCAGTAACAGTAAAAATGTAATAAGCAGCTTAAACAAACCTTGGTATGGATCCTGAGATCTTTGTAACAGAGGAGGAGGGGGGAGGGGGGATAAAACCCTAAGCTTTATCTAAAGCCTCTCCATAAAATAAGGTAATAAAATACAATTAAAATATCATAAAAACAGGGGAAATGGTTTAAAACAGCTAAAAAGAAACAATAAAAAAGAATGTAAAACTCTGTAAAAACACCTGGGATGGGTACTAAGGATGATTCCTCTGTAAGAGGAACCCCTGGATGCTGCAGAGCTTGTACAATGTTTTTCTACCATGTCTCCATACCATTAATGGATGAGAAATGTGTTCAGTTTGGATTTCAATGAGAAATTACTAAATTCACATTTCCTGGAGCTGAAGGCCAATCAGAATGCCACTGGACATCAAAATCACTATTTTTCTGAAGTACGTGATGCCTTCCAACATGGAAGCAGGACAGAGTGAACTTAGCAATAGGAAAATGAGAACCTAAGTGAAATACAGCACAAAAAATTCTTACCTCAAACCAGCTGGTAACGTACTGAAAATGATTCCATCTCTTCAGATTATTAAAAGCAGCACCACAGGAAGAATGCTTTAACACAGTTTATATTGCATATATTTCAGACAGCATTCAAATGAATGCCTAAACTGTGTGATATCAAAAATACACGCAGTATCCATCCACTTTGGCTCCTTCATGTGGATTTGCCAAATACCTCAGAAACTTCATGGGAACCTCTGTCTTTTCCACTGGTGGAGCTACTTCTGCTGCTGGTGTAGAACAGCTACTCGCTTTGTGCTTGGAATTGCTCTCCTCCTTGAGGCATCTTGGCCCGCACAGGCAGGCAGCCCTGCAGCCACCCCCCGCCATTGCCTTCCTTCTCTCCCTTCCCTCTTCCCCGCAGCCACTGCTGCCTTCCTCCTGCTCCGAAGCAAGCAGAGGCCTTCCTGAAAGCCACCTCTCCCAGGGCAAGACATTGGCCACAAAGCGATGCGGAGTGTGGCTCTCCCTGCAGTGTTGGCTGCAGCCCCCTTGGCACCACTCCTGGGTGGGGCAGGGGAGGCACAGCCTGAGCCCCTCCACTGGTTCCTCCGTCAAGGCATCACTGGGTGCGCCCATGCTTTGGCACCTTTGGCAGCCGCCCTTCATGGGTTGGGTGCTCATGCTGTGCCACCGCTCAGTGTGCACTGGGCTTTGGTCGGCATCTGCGTCTAGGAGCAGGCTATATTTATAGGAGCTGCTCTTGAATAGCAAAGAGTAGCGTTCCAGGCATTCTAGGCTACCTGAGTACTGAGTCTAGCATCTCATGCAAACCAAGGTCAACGCACCAGTACACGCACACACGGCATGCAATCAGCTGCACATGCTCAGTGATACATGAAGGACGATTAGCCCTTGCAGCCAGCGCATGACAAGACAGCGCTACAAGGGAGTAGTGGACATTCCTTCCTCTCAGCCTGCACAGGGACACCGCAGAGCTTGCTTGCTCTCTGTCCATGTCACCCCATCAGGCTTTCTGGCTTGGGACTTACAAGAGAGGTTGCATTACACAAGATAATGGCGGATTACCAGCTAATTTCTCATGGCGCTGTTTTCCTTAACTGTGCTGTGATTTGTAATCTGATTCCTGTGCCAGCAAAGATGCTGTGCTATGCAGAGGAGAAGGAAGGAATGGATGAGAAGTGCGTAGAGATGTATATGTTTGTGTGTGCATGTCTGCAGCATTTGCTGGAGGGTCAGCTAAGATCAAAATGCGAGGACCAAAAAGGATGCTTCTTCCGCATAGAATTCTCATGGAGCTGGGAGTACTTACAGGGGGGCCGTACAAAAGAGGGATTGTCAAAGGGAGGAGCCTTCCTGAATCTTCTGTTGAGATCTTGCTCATTTCATCTATTCATGGATGCAGTTGTGGAAAATGCAGCAAGGGCATGGAGTCCCCCCAAGTCCCCCCTGGAGTACAAGAGGGTGGGATGCAATTAAGGCATTGAGGGGCAGCGTAGTGCAGCGAGGAGGTGACTGCTGGCAGGCAGCTACCTGAGCACAAGTGCGGTCTGTAGGCATTCCACATTTCAGTCTTGAGGAACGCTGGGCCAGACAGGGAGAGGATATTACAGCCACCAGAATATGCAGCTTATTCCTGTTTGTTGCAGCATGTTAAACTCCACCGGGAAACCAGGGCTTTGCTCAAAGGTTTGATCTGGTTTCACTGGCTGCTAGGAATGGGGCCTGCCTATCATTAAGAAATTTACTTGCCCAGCTTTCGATTCCTGCAATCTTCAGGGCTATTATGCCTGAAAAGTTCACTGGCCTCTTGTGCTGCCTACAGCTGATCAGGTGTTTACGTTGGGTCACCCCTTGTAGGACCCTCCAGGCTAGAAGGATGGCAAATACGGATGGGTGCCTCCCTGAAATAGTAGCACAAAGCACCCTGCACAGCATTAGTAGGAGCTTCGCAAAATTTGGCTGTTTTGTTTTATGATATTATTGGATCTATTGTTTTTTTTCAATAAAAAGAGTTGTTTGAGCCAGTGAATAGTGTGCAATTAGTTTGTTGAATGAGTGTTTGGGATGCTAGGCTGTAGCAGCAGGTGTGAGGATCAAAGTGATGGTATTCAGAATGCCCAAATGAGGGAATCAAGGGAACATATGGTGCTAACTCTCATGTACTATCTGCCTATATGACGGTTTGGCTCAATTTTGTTAGTGCAAATGCCATCTGTCTGCACTGAAACTCATGCAAACTGAGTTAGTGTGTTTGCCTTGCGTTCTTGGAATGCTGAATTGGGATCCAAGCCAATGCTTTCTGGTAGTCTGATGCAAAATCTTCTCAAGCCAATCCTACAAGGAGAAATCTGGAATGGGAGGCTCCTCACAGTGCTGAATGCCTCTTTCCAACCCGCTGCCACTCAGCAGTTATGAGGCGCTTCCCCCTTGCACTTCACTGAACCACAGTACAGCCTGAAGCCCTTGTAAAGGCATCCCATTTCCTTCAGGCATTTGAACATACTAGTAGAGACACCAGTTTGAATGCATAACCTATACTGGTACTCCAAGCAGCAAATGTGCCAAGTATGGATCTCTCTCTCTCTCTCATGCACACACACACCTTGAATATACACATCTTAAACGCTTTGTTGGGCCAGGGTTGCAGAGATGTTTATGCATGAGAGTTTTTCTAAGCACGCATATGTGTACAAAAATATGTCTTATTTTTGGTATAGAAATCATTAGTGCAACACAATACAAACAGTAAGCACACAGATGCTTATATAGAAGAGACTGGAGATGTATTTATGTACACCCATGCTGGTGGCAATATTTTCAGAAATGTTGGTGTACATATTGCATTTTATATTCTGCTGTGTAAAATGTGGAGCTGACCAGATCACCTTCCTCTGGGGACCTGTCCCAAATAAATAATGCAGACTCCTCCTGGCTACAGGGAAGGCAGCGTAGAAAACGGTCCATTCCCTTCTGTCCTGCTCAGATCTGGCTCTCTCGGAGCTGTCATTGAAATCACTGTTGCCATGGGAAGGTGTCTGGTGTGAACAGGATGGAAGGGTGTGAATGGGAGAGAAGGGTGTTACTTCCTGTACTTGATAGCAGCTAAAGACAGTGGACAAGGAAGAGTTCTTAGCTGACAGAGGCTAGAAGTTACTCTGAAAAGAAGAGGCAATCAGCTTGGTGCCTAAAGTGGGGCAGGGAAGGATTTTATGTACATGCAGTGGTTCAATTCCGCCACCTCTTCGTACAGCATCTGACAGGAGGGGAAGCCCTTGGAGCACACGCTTCCTTAGTGCCCAGGAATGACTCCTTTACTTGTGAAATGTTTACACGTCCTCATCTGTTTAAAGGAAATCTAATTGCCAAACCCCTTAAATATGCCTAGTGCATTATATAACAAAAATGGTCTTTCTCTGTCTTTTTTATGTCTAGATTCTTATTTATCTTGCTGGGCCCATTAGGGAAAGCCCAGCAGTATCATGAAATTGGAAGGTCAATGGCTACCCTCATGACTGACGAGGTACAGTAAATAATACAAAGTGGTACTTGGACTCTTTAAACGATCTTTATTGCTTTGCTGTACGTGTAATACTCATATCCAGTCTTGGAATTAGATGCTTACTTGATATATAAGTCCTGTAAAAAGCTGTGTGGCATTTCTCCCTCCCTCACCCATAATAGCAGAAAAAGAAACGACTCTGCTCCCAGTTCATTTCTGAGCAGGATTCACAAAGTGAAATAGGATAGTTTCTCAAGGCAGGGCCTGAAGGGACTGCTGTGGAAAACAATGCCATTTTTTGTTTCTCCCTCTCTTCTGCACATCACTGACTAGTGATAGTAGTTAGGGAAAGATGTACACAATGTTGTCATACTACAACTGAATGTGTCTAGATGTTACTGCGGGGGTGGGAGAGAGGAGAATGGGCAGCTCTTTTTAGCAGAGAGTTGAGGAATCTAAATCAATGTGGAGTCATCTGAAGGAATGTTTGTGTGGTCTTTCTGAAAGGAAAGAAGTCATAATCAGGTGATTTCTTCATTGCTTTCTTTTGTTTGAGCCTACATATGGTTCATTTAGCATTTTATCATGTTCTTAAGAGTATGTTAGAAGCAGCGATGTTGCAACAAGGGCTCTTGATGAACAACACGTGTGTGATGGGGGGGATTCCACTTCCCCTCCCCCATAAGGGTATGGATGCTGGGGTTTCCTGGAGGCAGAGTGGAGCAGGCAACCTCAGCTTGAGAAGGCTATGGAAGCACCCAAGTACAGTTTTAAGAGTCCCCCCATCTTTTCCATAAGTTGAACTCTGGTCATAAAGGCCAGAATGTGTTACTAACCCTTTGCTAGTAGCAAGAGAGATGGTGCTTGAGGCTGGTACATATTTTGTGAAATTGCATATCTAGAAAGAGAAAAGTACAATTCAGGAACAGCTAGTTCTTAGAAGCAGGCTGCTAACTATATAGTAGAAGAGACTATGTGAAAAGTAGTTGATGCAGGCATACGCCTGTTAAAAGCACCTGGCAATGGCATGGTTCTTGGAGGCGCTGCCCCTGCAGGTGTGCTGCTCTGAGAGATAGGCAGATGCCTTCCCCTGCCTGGCAAAATACTGCACACCCCTGAAGCCTGACTGTTGCTCCGTCCCAAGATCATTCAGTGTAAAGCATCTTCTGCTCATTTTTTCAGGCCAAGTAAATAGCTGCCTATACAAATAATTTATTTGATGAGACGTTGTGCAGATGTGTTACTATTTCAGAGCTAATGGAATAAGTGGATGCTTTTCTCTTGGTCTCCTATCTCCAGGTTTTCCATGATGTTGCTTACAAAGCCAAGGACCGCTCTGATCTTTTGGCGGGCATTGATGAATTTTTAGACCAGGTGACAGTCCTGCCACCTGGAGAATGGGATCCATCAATTAGAATTGAGCCACCCAAAAATCTCCCTTCCCAGGTAAATCGCAATGTGTTCCCTAGCACACAAGAATGCAATAGCTATCCTTTTGAAAGAAGAGCCTTATGCTGAAGATATAATTCTCTGAACTAGGCAGGCAGTGCTCAAGATCATCACACATTTTAAGGCTTTTCTCTTGTTTGCCTGTAGCTAAGTTCCCTCAGCCATTTTGGCACATTGTAGGTGTGGGAAACACTTTAGCTATGCTGCACCTGAGGTGCTACAGCCATGGCAATTTGATTGTGTGCACATGATACTATGCACATAATTTGACTTGCAGATCTTCCATCTTGATGGCTTGTGAATGCCATTTGCATGGAGAGAGGTGGTTCATGTGGGAAACTGCACATTGGGAGAGCACCTGTTCTCAGGGGCACCTGTGGGGGGCCATATTGGTGGGGAGGGAGGGAGGGGGGGAGGGAGGGAGTGCAATTTGCTGCCCCTGCTGCTTTGCTGCCAGAGCTGGGCATTTACACCATTCTTTGGAGGGCCGGCATGTTCAGGTTAATCGTAAGGTAGTCTGGCAGGAGCCATCCCTCGGTATACAAAATAGGCAGCCTAAGCAAAACAGACTGAGAATTTAGCTCAAAGCGAGCAGAGCAGAGCAAACAAAATGACCGCAGAACCCCAACCAAAATAGCATCCTGCTCCTGTAGACTTAGAAACCGAAGAGGAAAATCTCCCCAAACCAACGCAAAGAGCAGCCCCTTCAAATAAGTCACAACCTCTGCTCACAATACACACATTTGCTGGAGCAGCCCCTCCCACACAGAACTCCCGTGCTCCCCTTCCTGTTCCGGTTCTGCCTGCAGCCCTCTCTGCAAGCCACGGGCTTTTGGAACAGCTGGATGTTTTGGGGACCCAGCTGCCAAAGCTCCATCCCAAAGTTGAGAGAAAAATAAGCTGTGTGTGTGTGTGTGTGTCTCCAGCCACAAGAGCAAGTGGAAGCAGGGCACTCAAGAATCTAAGCACGAAGGGAATGAGGGAAAGGGTGCAAACCAGAGAGTGAAAAACAAAACAGATGAGAACACAGAATCCTAACTGTGGCAGCAGGCTGAGTTAGTGAATCAGCAGACTAGGCAAAGAGGGGAAGAGGCAAATCGCGAGCCAAAGCGATCAAGACACCCTTCAAGCAAGCCACCAGCTCAGCTCAGAATCTACAAATCCACCCCTTCCTTGGGCATATAGTGTGAGTTCCCCATTCCTGACTTGTGGTTATTTATAGGTTCTTTGGATGATACTGTGGCCCTTCAGTTTTGCTTCTATGTCTAATCAGCACTTCTGGTAAGGTTTTTTTAGTGTAAGGAAAGTGGGGGTTTTAATTTAGAAAGAGAAAGAAAGTGTACCTTTTCCTATTCTGCTGTACCGTAGCATCTCCTAGAGTTTACATAGTGGAAAATAAGGAAAGGGAACACGTAATGTTTGGATCTCAGTTCTGCAGTGGAACAAAAAGCAGTAGATTAACAGCCTCATGTAGAAAAACTCTTTGCCTCTTAGAGCAGTCACATGTGAAACACCCCAGTGGGCTCATCGGTTGCTCATTTCTATGAAGCAGAGAAGTTTCCTGCAGATCTCACGTGCTCTGATTGGGCCCACTGCGAAGGGTATTTAAATGCACCAGTACCTTGGATAGAAGCCACCAAATTTAGGAGATGGTTCATAATGTTTCGATTTTGTTAGGAAAAGCGGAAGACTCCAGGAACTCCAGGAATCCCTAATGGAAGTGTCTGTCATGATGAAGCAGAAGATCACAGCGGGCCTGAGCTCCAGAGAACAGGAAGGTGAATTTTGTGTGCCTCTGCTAAAGGCAGCTTCCTCTCTTCCATAAAGATGGGACTCCAGGTGCCCCAGTGAAATGTCCAGTAGCCACAAGAGATGGTAAAGGCTGCCCAAGTGCACCTTCTGCTTTGAAAAGTCAGTCCAGATTACCTTAGCACTCCAGGCTTTACTGAGAAGGATGGGGGCTAGCAATAAAAAAAACACAATAAAAAATAAGATATCTTTGGGAAGCAACTCAAGGGAGGAATGAGTCCAGCCCAGAGAACAGGCTGTGAAGTGCACTGTCCCAACTGTCCAGGTCAGGCAGGAGCATCCAAGAGCCAAAGGTTAAGGAATCTGTCCACTCCAGAATATCACGGCAGAGCACAGAGCTGAAATGCTGTTGTCTGCAACAGAGAGCAAGCTCCAGCTCCCTGATTTATAGCTGGCTGAAAATCAGCACAGCTGCTCACTAGTTCCATATGTTGCTTACAAGGGAGTCCGTGCCTTTTGTTTGAGCTTCTGATTCTCACTCTTCATCCTCCTCCTCTCCAAGGGGTGCATTGCCCTTGGCTCTGCCTCCTGCCCAGGAAGGCCCCGGCCGCTCTTCCATTGGAAAGCTCCCAGCTGCACTATCAACTTCACTGCCTGGCTCTGGCTGGGGCCTGCTATGCTGGCCTTCTCCCTTTTCTCACTCTCATGAGTCCTTCTCCAAGTTGGGCATCGCACACACTGACAAACCTGGATACTTGTTAGTGGAGATTTTAAAAGTGTGTGGTGCAATCAGGTTTAGACAGAAAACATCCTACAACTTTCACCATACTAGGAGCTTTAGGTCTTTTTTCTTTCTTGCTATATATGTTTAGGGTTGAACCCAAAGAGATTCGAACATACAGTAATCCCTGCTTGGAAGTAACGTCTGAATTAGCTGCCAGTCAGACCAGATGCCCCCAGTGGCTCTCTGCTTGTAGAGACTCTAGACTCTAGACAGAGAATAATAGAGGCATTGTTTTCCATGGTGTACCTGTGCACACAGATGCATGCGCACATGTGCATACTTTAGCCCGCTCTCATTTTGTGTCAAATAAACGTTGCCAAGGGGTTCTGTCTGTTTGTTTACCTATCGAACGATGACCCAGTCCATCTTTGGGAAGTAATCATCCTGTCTTTCCTTTGCAGGCTCTTTGGCGGTTTGATCTTGGATGTGAAACGGAAAGCTCCCTGGTACTGGAGCGACTATAGAGATGCTTTGAGTTTGCAGTGTTTAGCCTCCTTCCTCTTCCTGTACTGTGCCTGCATGTCTCCTGTGATTACGTTTGGGGGGTTGCTTGGAGAAGCAACAGAGGGACAAATCGTAAGAAAGTTTTTTTCCCCTCCTTTCATGTGTTATGAGTAACTCTCAGATAGAAGTCATCAGAAGCTGTGACATTACAAAAAGCAGTGGAAATGTAACTTCACCACTGCTCTTCCATGTTTAAGGTATGTGTGCCATGCAGGATTGATGGAGCCAATATTTTTTCATTAACAGCCCTGATATTTATTGCTCAGTTCGTGTGTCCAGTGAGACATCTTTTGAAATTATGGACTATTATACCATTTGGGGAATATGGCCTTTGGATATTCATTTCTCATAGAAGAAGACATGTTCTTCTCCATCACTTTTAGAACAGCAAGAAGCTTATTCTTAAGCTTGCTTTCCGTAATAACTTACCTCTGAGCCCATTTCAGTCATGCTTTCACTTTTACAGTCAGAGCACTTGATGACTGGGCTTTTTAAAAGTGCTCTGCTTTGCTCGTGGGTAGAATGTAGTTCTTAAAGGGTATTACAATTGCAGCTGGACAGCCATCCAGGAGGGATGGCTTAACTGGGAGTCCTGCACTGAGCAGGGGATGGGACTCGATGGCCTTCTGGCCTCTTTCAACTCCTATTCTATGATTCTAAGAAGGACAAAATCCTATGCATGTAGGACAGAATAACGTCCTACAAATGCCTGGAAGAACACTGGGAAATGTAGGACTTTTTCCTGTCTAAAAAGGAAAAAGGATTGTGCCTTGAGGAGTAGTAGCTATCTGGGAGTGACTGATCCAGAGAAATACCTTGTCATTTCAGAAACTGAGACCAAAGGATGGGGAAATTGGTTTTATGTAGGAGCTGCTTCAATTTTCTCCCTGTGTCACATGGTGACCGCTTCCATGGGGGAAACGGTTTTTTTCATCACGCAATCCCCTTTCCTTTTCAACCTCTATTAAAAGAAATCTGTGGGGATGTAGAGAAAATCTTTTTAAAAACCATGGGGAGCCTAAACTTGGGGGCTATTTTCTATGTTCCACTGGATGCGCTGAAAGTTCCAACTGAGGCTCCTTTGGAGAATCTGGGATTAGTTGGAACCATAACAGTGAGCTGCACGCACCATTTGGCCTGACTTAATATGGCAGCTCTTCCATTCTTATGTGTGTGTTTCATTCTGCAGAGTGCCATAGAATCCTTGCTTGGAGCCTCCATGACGGGGGTGGTGTATTCCCTCTTTGCCGGTCAGCCTCTCACTATCTTGGGGAGTACCGGGCCGGTGCTGGTCTTCGAGAAAATTTTGTTCAAGTTCTGCAAGTAAGGCTTTATGTCCTCAAGGGAAATAAATAAAAACTTCAGCAATAGAGAAAAATTAACCTCACTTATCCCCCCTACCTTTTTTTATTTTCCCAGGAATATCCCAGGGATAATATTTATCATCCCAGCAATATCCCTTTTTATTATCCCTGGAATATCCCAGGTTGGTGCTGATCTTGATGCATGGCCAGTCCATGTTGTAAGCAAGGCAGAAAATGAGAAATGGCAATTCTACGGCACCTGCCATCATGTGCTCTATGTACCTAGTGGAAGCGGGAGAAGGCCACTTCCTCTTCAGACATCTAGGGACAATTATGATTAGCTTCACAGATGACTATGGTGACCTTGGGCTGCTGACTTTCCCACTTGAGCTCTGACTTTGGGGGGTGATGGCAGTTGCACCCCAGACAGTGCTGGCTGGTCAAGACACATCCGAAGGGCCCCATTCCTCTGCGGGTCTGGCTTTTCAGTACTCTTGCCCCCAGTTTCTGTTGCTCCTCATCCTCTTCCTCATCGCTGCTCCCACTTGCTGGCTGAACAGGCAGAGAGCCGGTGAGTAGGCAGGCGGTGCGATCTACTTTGCCTTCTCACCACCACTGTTGCCTGGGCCAGAGCAAGAGTCACATGAAGAAGCAGAAAGCAATGATGAAAGAGGAGCCCCTTGAGCAGCTCTTCTCAGTGGATCCCACAGGGGTGTGGCAGGGATATGGCCATGCCTCCCTTTGACCCTGGCCCCAAAACAGCGATTGATTGATTGATTGATTAAAAGCTTTTCTATCCCACCTCTACAGAACATCTTGGGACAGCTTGCAATAAATAAGTAGAATAAAACAAACCTCACAGCATCCAACCATGAATAAAAATCAGTGGATTTCCTTTATATTATTTTGCCTTTTTATGGAGCAAGAAAAGAAAGCCGAAGTATAAAAATGTCTGTCAGTTTGCCTTTTGTCAAAAACTTTCCCCCTTCTTCCTCCTCTAACCTCTTTAAAGTAAGCTCATAGAATTTTTCAATGCAGTTCAGGAGAAAAATCGAATGTATAAAAGACTTTTTAAGCGATGGAACTCTCATTTTTAAAATAGCTACTTCATAGAAATAACTGCACTGTGGTGCACATCTGGATATGCTGCATGGCAGCCCCTAGCATTTTGTCACTTAAAATTTTACAGGGTGATGACTATACCAGTCAATCAGTGCAGTAATAAGTCACTGCAGTATTGCAAATAGAACCTTTTCCTGTCTGTACACAGAATGCCAAGACACGCATTTCTACCTGCTCTTCCAGGTTTCCTCTCAGCAGTAACATAGCCATAACCATGAGGCAATTAAGAGGATCAAGCAAGAGCCTTCCCACCTCTTGGTCATGATCAGTACTGTCAGGGTTGCTTTTGAGAGCAGTTAAATTGGTGGGAAACAAGTCAGTTGTCTCTCTGTTCTCCTGCAGGCTTCCTGTAAGATGTGAGGAGCAAGTATACCTATCTAACATTTAACTTGTGGTCTGAGTGTGGACACAAAACTAGATCAGAGGTTCATGTAGGATAGTAATCATGGAGCACCCCTACCTTTGCACAATAATGCATTCTTTCCCCATCAACTCCTAAAAATTGGAGGATGGTAGAGGTGCTTCTTCATATTGCTCAAGTTAGGAATTTCCACTGCAATGTCCACTTGTATGAAAGTACACAGGGTATTTCGCCAAGGGTAAATGAGGTGGTGTTTCCTGCCAGCCAAACTCCAGACTCTCCTGGTGTCACTCCAAGTAAGAGTGCAGCAGAGTGAGTTGATCTCGCTACAAAATGAGACTCAAAGAATATTCCTGGGTGGCATCTTCTCACACTGGGGAGCAGTAACAAGTGAGTTACCACAGGGCTCGGTCCTGGGACCAGTGCTCTTCAACATATTTATTAATGATTTGGATGAGGAAGTGCAGGGAATGCGTATCAGGTTTGCAGATGACACAGAGGTGGATGGGACTGCTAATACTCTGGAAACCAGAAAGAAGATCCAAGGTGATCTTGATTTGGGGTCCTGGGCTAAAAACAATGGAATGAAATTAAGTTGGGACAAATGCCAAATTTTGCACATAGGGAAAAGAAACCAAATACACTGTTACAAGACAGGGAATACTTTAAAGGAGGAGGTAATCAGGCCTGTCCTAAAGAAGGCGTCTCTGGAGATGGCTGCCAATTATAGATCGGTGGCCAACATCCCATTTTTTGGGCAAGGTGTTGGAACGGGTGGTGGCGGGACAACTCCAAGTACTCTTGGATGAAACTGATTATCTGGACCCATTTCAGTCTGGCTTCAGACCTGGGTACGGTACTGAATCTGCCTTGGTTGCCCTGTATGATGACCTGTGCAGGGAGAGAGACAGGGGGAGTGTGTCCCTGTTGGTTCTCCTGGACCTCTCAGCAGCTTTCTATACCATCAACCATGGTATCCTCCTGGATAGGCTGGCAGGATTGGGAGTAGGATGCACTGCTTGGCAGTGGTTCCGCTCCTATCTCAATGACCGATTCCAGAAGATGGTGCTGGGGGACTTTGGCTCTGTGCCATGGCAACTTTGCCATGGAGTACTGCAGGGTTCCATTTTGTTCCCCTTTGCTATTTAATATCTACATGATATTACCTACATGACCATGGGAGAGGTCATCAGGAGGTTTGGGCTGTGGAGTCATCAGTATGCTGATGACACCCAGCTCTACCTCTCTTTTTCAACTAATCCAGGTGAGGCAGTGGCTGTACTGAACCAGTGCCTGGCTGAGATAATGGGCTGGATGAGGGCCAATAAACTGAAACTCAATCCAGATAAGACGGAGGTTCTGTTGGTGGGTGATTCGAGCGCCTGGGTAGGTGACTTGGGCCTTGCCCTGGACGGGGTTGCACTCCCTCTAAAGGACAGGGTCCGCAGCTTGTGAGTGCTCCTCGACCCAGAGATGTCCTTGGAAGCTCAAGTGACAGCGGTGGCGAGGAGCACTTTCCTTCAGCTTCGGCTAATCCATCAGCTGCGTCCCTATCTGGAGGAGGATTGCCTAGCAACAGTAACACATGCATTGGTTACTTCCCAGTTGGATTTCTGTAATGCACTTTACGTGGGGCTGCCCTTGAAGACGGACCAGATACTTCAGATGGTTGAAAGCAGAGCTGCCAGGATGCTGTTGGGGACTGGGCGTTATTCTCATATAACCCCAGTCCTCTATCAGCTCCATTGGCTTCCCATCAAAGTCCAGGCTCAATTCAAGTTGTTGGTTATTACCTATAAAGCCCTTAACAGCTTCGGACCAGGATACGTAAAGGAACACCTTCTTCCCTATTTGCCCTCCCGCCCCCTGAGATCAGCAGCAGAAGCCCTCCTCCGGGAACCCTCTGTGAAAGACATTAGGAGACAGAGTACCTGGAGGATGGCCTTCTCTGTGGTGGCGCCCCGTCTATGGAATGTGCTCCCCTACCAGAGAGGTCCACCTGGTGCCGTCATTATGTTTTTCGACACCAGGTCAAGACCTTTTTATTTAATCAATATTTTAATAAGTTTTAATATCAAATTTTATTACCGTATTTTAATTTGCAGCCAGAGTGGGTTGTCAATTTATTGTTTATGTACCTCGGAATTTTATTTGTGTAAGCTGTCCTGAGGCTCTTGCAAAGGACGGCATACAAATATCTTAAATAAATAAATAAAATACTAAAACCCCAGTTAAAATCAATTAAACGTTAAAATAACAGGAAAATAAAAAGGGTTTTGACTGACGCCAAAAAGAATATAATGTCGGCGCCAGGCGAACCTCTCTGGTAGACAGAGGTAATCTGAATCAGCGAGCTCTTCCAGGAGCCTGCTGTTAAAAGGATGCTGAACCTGAGTGTAGCAGGAAATGTCAGGCCCAGAGCGAAAAGGAAGGTGCCACAGTGCTGGGGGTTTCCCACATCTTTTCCTTGTATGGATTACAGTATGCACACTCACCTGCTGATCCCACAGCGGTCTGCCGAGCATTTACCAGGGGATCACAGTGCGATTTAAGCGGAGAAGCTTTGCTGCATGTGCGAACAGATACATTGAATAAAACGAAGTCTCAGATTTCAAAGCTTTTAAAAAATAAGATTGAAACTTCCCCAACTTTCTGTTTGGCAAAAGATTTCCTGGCTGCTTCACCCCTCTTGACAAACCAGTGGTTGATATTTGCATTATGGCAATGTGGGTAAAAGTCTATTTTTATGATACGTTATATGGTTTTTAAAAAATCACTGTCTTAGTAATATTCCAGATGTAAAATGCTCACAATCAGATAGGCATAATTCAGAGTGACTTCTTCCTGGAGCAATTCTGTGCAACTGGGAGCTGATGTGAGTGATGCAGCCCTGATGGCAGAGTTAAGTGTTCCCAATATACTTGGCACGGTTGCTGCTGACATGGGCCCAAGTCGGGCTGAAAGGCACCCAGCCAGCAGCACCTCCCATATGGTGCCAGGTCTCTGGTTCAATAGCAACAGTTTGACGAACTGCGAAGTGGTTCTTTGTGACTGAAGGCATTGTGCTAATAGCTGCACACAATCCTGTGCATGGTTGTGCAGAGAAAAGCATGGTCCAGGGCCTGCTAAGGATTGTGGCTCTTTTTTCTGCCTGAACAAGTGCAGGACTTGTACCGATATAGCCGAACTGGGCCACAGTCCAACCCAGAGCTGAGAGCACTTAAACCATTTGATTTCAGAATCGCTTAATTCTTTGTTGTAGTGCAGCTCTCCTGGTTTGAATATAAATTTTAAATTATTATTATTATTATTATTATTATTATTATTATTATTATTATTATTATAACATTTCCATGCCGCCCCTTGCCGAAACCTCGGGGCGGCTTACAACATGAATTGTCAGTATAAACTAAAAATGCTTTGTATAATGGAGAGCATCTAAACTTACATTTTCACGCAGGCAGCCTTTTTCCTCATACAAGCTTTGCCCTTGGTATGTGGATTTCTGCAAAGCCACACATGTTTGTTGGGACTGCAGACACACACAGGTACACAACTGGAGATTGCATGAGAAGAACACACTCGCCAGAGGGGAACTACGCAGATGAAACAGGCTTTGGGCCAATGTTACATTATAAGAGCAGTCTGGTTGCCATTCGGCTAGGATTCTGTCCCACACTGCTTCTGATAATGTAAGGAAAAATAAGGTGTAATGGATGAATTATGTGACTGCTGCAACAGGGGGAGGAATGGAGAAAGTCCGGGTGGGTCTGACCGATGGCTGCGACATGATTGCAGTGGCCTCCTGAACATCTCATCAGGCAAGGCTGCATTTCAGAGTAGAATTTTCTTCTCTTAAGAAGGGTAGCTGTCGAAGGAAGGAAAATATATTACTGCATGTAAGGGAGGTGTAGAATCCAAGTGACTGGAGCAAACTCTAAAAGATTCTCTGCTCGTCTCTGCTATCTGTTTTTGGAGAGGAAGGGGAAAAGTCCTGATAGGTTAACAGGCAAGAGGTGGGAGTTGAATAAAGACACCTGTACCTCTGTGGTTTAATGATTCTGATCAGCTCTGCATTCAATAATTCTTATTTCCCCCCTTTGATTTCTATTTTCTTTGTGGTCCACTTTTGCAGAGAGTACGGGCTTTCTTACCTTTCCCTGCGAACATGCATTGGCCTTTGGACTACTTTCATGTGCATCTTGCTTGTGGCAACCGATGCCAGCTCTCTCGTCTGCTACATAACTCGCTTTACAGAAGAAGCGTTCGCCTCTTTGATCTGCCTCATTTTCATCTTCGAGTCTCTAGAGAAATTACTAAAGCTGGGGCGGACTTACCCGGTTCATATGCATAGTGATCTTGACCAACTGAGCTTGTATTTGTGAGTTGCTGCTGCTTGTATTTTATAATATGTTTTTATTTATTCGCTTCAAGGGATTTGAATTCATGAATTCCTGTGAGGATGCTGATTGTGTAGAAATGAGAAGCAAAGGAATCCACCTGCTCCCCCAAATATAGTTAAACAGGCTCATTGGAACAGACATACTATATTAAATATACACCCAAGCAGAACCTACTCTGTTCATATATTGGAAGAGGTTCAGCCATTCTTTTGGTGTTGGGCAGCCTTCCAGCATAGCAAAAAGCTGGGAATCATGGGACTTGCACATATGATATAACACATCTGGAACGTGCTGAAATCTCATACCATTTAACTCCTGGATCCTGTGTGTGTAGAGGTGCAGATTCCTAAGGAAACAAGATTGCAGAGTTTAAGCCTCTGGCTACCACTGTAAGCAGTAGGAGAGATAGTGACCCCTGATAAATCAGGCCTTGATGCCTAGGACCAATGACTGTTTTGCTGAGCTTTGACGCTGCAAAGCAGTGCCTACAAAATAGTAATATCTGAAGCTATAGAACAAGATGGAAAAGAAGTCAAAACTTGAATATGTCAAAATGATTAGCATGGAGATAGGAGACCACCGCAGAAAGCACTGAGAGAACTAGATGCAGTATATATATTTATTCACTAGCAAACAGGTTAGCCCTTGTCCAGTGGATGGCTTAGATGCGAAACAAGCCGTTACGGGAGCACTGCTTAGCTGGGCAGGTACAGACGGAAAAGTTACCAGGGTCTGGGGCAACTGGGTGTTCTTGTTGTAGAGCCTTCTTAAAGGCGCAGCAAGACTATGAAAAGGGCTGGCCTTCACTGCAAGCACACCCGCACCGTCTTGACTGCACTGCAGGCAGGCACAACACCCCGGGCTAGCACTACTTCTCCACCCGTGCTGCCGTGGCTCCAGCGCAGAGTCATCAGAAGACCAGCGTTTGAATCTGCTCTTGTGGCCAAGTGATAATCGACTGCGTCTTTATCCCGCCCTTTCTCCAAGAAGTTCAGGGAGAACTGTGACCACCGTATGATAGGTGTGAAGGGTGAACTCACATGGAAGTTTTAAAGGTTTGCACCAGGAGCGCCCAGCATGTAGGCCATGCGCTGCTCTTGGAGGCTTGTTATGCAGCCATCGTGCGACAGCCATATTCCCCCTGCCAAAAGGGGCCTCTGTTTCTCTGCTTCTAGTGTTCCCACTAAGTCAAGATGCTGGTTGGAGCCACTGGTAGGCAGATGAAGCTAAAGCTTTCTCCCAGCCATCCAGAAGTAGCTGGCAATGCTGCTTGCATTTACTTTGACCTGAAATAGTTGTATGGACACCTTTAAGTCTCAAGCAAATTTCTAATTCCGGGTGTCTCCCATAAAGTGCATTCTCCCATAATGCCTGTAGAGAGTGGGCCTTAGAGAGTGGGCACAGCTCTTGCTCGTGGCAGGCTGTGCAGGGTGAGTCCTTGTCAGGGTCCGAAGAGGAAGAGGAGGAGGAAGGAATGGGGGATTGAAGCCTTCGAAGTTCCTTCGAGGGTCCTTAGTGCAGTTTCTCTCATGGAGTGCAAGTGTCACTCTGTTTCGGCAGCAGTAGAAGGGCTTTCGGGAGGGGATGGGGTGCAGATGCGGGGTCCCGTCCTTGACCTAGTAAGGAGGCATTGGGAGAAATGAGCTGCTCAACTGGAGGGGCTCCGACCCTCTTGCCATCTAGCTTTTCAATGGCAAGAGCTTCCTGGAGCGGGGAGCCAGCAGCCTTATGGGAAAGGGAAGGACTGCAGGCAAGTTCCCAAATTGGATTCAGTTCTTTACACAAGCAGAGGCTTCTCCTTCCAGCTTTGGTAAAAAGCTATTTAGAGTTAAAGTGTTCTGTCATCTGTGTAGTTAGAATAAAACAACTGCATTTCAAAAGAGTTTTGGAACCCGAAGGAAGGAGGGAAAGGGCACTGCCCCAAATCGAGATAGGTGTGCTCTCTTTTGTTTTGGGATGTAAACAAGGCTATACTTTGAGAAGATTTTTGGTGTGCAATCTTTCCCCCTGTTCATCAGTTGCAGATGTTCAGCCCCAGAGAATCCCAGCAATGAGACTGTGGAGTTGTGGAACAGCAAAAAGATCAATCCTTCAGCAGTTTCATGGGCGAATCTCACAGTCTCTGTAAGCATATGGATTTGTTATTGTACTTATTGGGGATTAGATGATTGCTGCGGTCCAGTATTGTTCACTGATGAGGCCACGAACTCTTAATCCAGCTGGTATGACCACATTGCTTTTGTTTTGTTTCTTAAGGCACGTGCCCTTAAATTGTTATAGATTGCACTGGAATTGGTATCGTAGTCACTTATAGGCATAAAAAGAAATACAGATCTGCATTTTCAAAGTAAAAGGCATGCTCCATCACTGCTGGAGAGTGGTACTGCCAGAGGGACACAAGATGGGACAGTAAGACTAGCCTCAGAGTAAAAGAGAGCCAGTGAGGTGTAGTGGTAAAGAGTATGGATCTGGGACTCAGGCAGTCTGGGTTCTAGTCCCTGCTCAGCCATGGAACTGAGGAATTTATTCCTGGTGTCTAGCCTGAATCTCATGTTGCAATTCAAGTTCATTGTTCCATGTCTGGGTCGAGTGAGAAGAGGTCTTTTCCTTCCTCTTTGTGACAGCCTTTTCCCCTGTGTTGAATTTGTGCTTTTCCACCCATGCGCTTGAAGGCTGTTGCTCTGGGGTAATAGAGGGCCATGCTTAGCTTGAATGCTTCCATTTCTTTTTCTCCGTTCTTGCATGGCATTTCTTTAGTACAAGAAATCCAGTCATCCTAATGTATTGAGGTGCTCGCTGTAGTTAATTCATGCAGTTCTCTGAGCCTCTTGCCATGGCTGCCCTTTCAGTGTTTGGGTTATACTTGTTTGATCAGCAATGCCAGGAGATGCTCGGAGAATTCACAGGACCTACATGTGGACACGACGGCCCTTTTATCCCTGATGTTCTCTTCTGGTCCTGCATCTTGTTCTTTACTACTTTTATCCTGTCAAGTGCACTGAAGACTTTCAAAGCCAGTAGCTATTTCCCAACAAAAGTAAGTAGAAGGCAGCAGCTAACACCGTGAGTTTGACTCCTTTGTAACCATGCCTGTCTGAATGATTTCCCAATGTTTGCCACATTTGAGAGTCAGAAGGGAATGCCTCCCTCACCCCCCTTAGCTGGCCCCAGCTAATTTTCTTGCATGTTGGATTTCTGCTTGTCATTGCCTTTTGCACGTGGCCGGTGCGGGGGTGGGTATCTGGTAGTCTGGTACTGACCAGAACGACCGTGAGGTATTATCTGCAGCATTGCTGGGGGAGAGTCCTGAGATCCCCACGCTGAGCGCAGGGCTGCAGCTGAAAGCCTTGTGCTGCTCACAGCAGCTCTTGAGTGAAAGGACTCATTCTCTTATTGCGGTTCTTCTTCTTCGCTGGACCTCGTCCTGTGCAAAGTCAAACTTTTGCCATGATACGGGTGACTCTGGCCCTGTCCCGACATTCCTGAATGGCGCATAGCGAATGCGCAAACGGGGAGTGCGGTGGCTTCCTGAAGCTGAGCTCCTCCTCAGTCCGTAAAGGGCTATGGTTCCAAAGCACAGTGGGAGCCTCCATTTGCTGTTTCAGAAGTCACCTTCATAGGTACGTGGAGGGCAGGTGGGACCAGCTTGCTCTCTCTGGTCATGCATTTGCTGCACACAGTTTGAGAAGCATGTGCCCCTGTTCAAGGTGTCTTTCTATAGCACAAGAGGAGTGACTCTGAGTGTCTGATGCATGTGTGTATCAGAGCAGATGTCACTTTTGGAGGGGAGCGGGAGAGAGAGAGAGAGAGAGACTGTGCTCCCTCTGGTGTGATTTGTTTCATGTCTGGATGGCTTTATTTTCTTCACTTTTCTGCCTAGCTGTCTCTTGTGTTTCTGAGCTCTATTCTGGACTCTGCCCCCCCAGATTGGCTGGTATCACAGTCCTGGCCGAACCTGTGTAAGTCCAGATGGGTCTGTGGCAAACCATCCTGCATTGTGTTGGGGAGGCTGAGCTGCTGGCCTTTTGGCCTGTTGTCCTTTTTCAAGCCCTGGTCTCTCCCTCTACACGCCAGTTATCTACTGTGATAACCGCTTGGGATCCCTCTGACTGCCCTCTCAACCAACTGGTCCCCTTTGTGAATCCCTCTCCTGGTTTCTCATACTAGGTGCGTTCCATGATAGGCGACTTTGCTATCTTCATCACCATTGTGATCATGGTCTTGATTGACTACTTAATTGGAATCCCGTCACCGAAGCTTAACGTCCCCCACACTTTCATGGTAGGAACACCTTTAAAATATTTCTTTTACTGTTCTCCCCTGTTTAATGATGTTTCCCCCCTCAATAAATCAACGTTGAATTGTTTGACTGAGTTTTGTTGTTTGCCCTCTACTGTGGAATTATTTTGTAAGGAAAATTGGACCAGAAGTTTCTTAAATAGGTAAATATGATGATGTGTTTTTTAGGCAGGGGAAACATAGTACGCCTGTGCAGGTGCAGCAGAGCAAAAGGGGCTATTCCAGCTGGATTCTCCTGCTCTGGGAGGGAAGCCATTATTAATGGCTGGTCAAATGTGGGTGAAGGAGATCCTCAGCCAAAGTGCCCTGTTTTCTCTCTGGTGGAGGATTGAGCACTGATACATGAACAAGCAGGGCAGAGTGTAGGAGGCACCCGGAGTTCATGGTTGAAAGTAAGCAGGAGGCTGAGTAGAAGTGAGGCAGAAAGCAGTAAGGCATTATCACAGTGGCATTCAAGAGCTGTGCAATCCAGCAAAGCTTGAATTACAAAGGTGGTGATTGGCTTTGTGGCAAATGGAACACCAAGAAACAGGCAAGAGCAAACGCCAGCCCCTTTGTAACCCACCCGATTACTGGAATACTTGAAAGCAGCAAACCTCCTGGTATCCTACTTTCTTGATTTTGCCAGCAGGTGCCCTTCCACTGATGCTGAAGTGGCCCTTTGAAAGGCCTTTCGCTCATGCCTTGTCTTTTAGTTTTTAATATTTTGAAGCCTCACCAAAATGCAGTTGGGGTAGTTTTTGTCCCAGTCCCTGAAAATTGCACATTATTATGTATTATTATTTTGGTTAGTGTGTACTTGCGGTTATCTCATATGTGTAGACCTGTCCTGTCAATTCCCTTATCGGTTTCAATTGTCCATTAAAAAGCACTGGCAAAAGGGAAAAGGCAGTAAAATTAGGTGCACCACAAGAAAGTTGGAGCAATATCATTCATTTAGCAATGCAGTCCTTTTAGTTCTAAGACACCTTCCCCTTTCAGCACCTCTCTGACTCTTCAGCTATTGGAGGAAGGGGATATGTTAACTCCCTTGACTTTATCCAACTCCTTTTTGGAGCTCTCATTGTTTTGGTTAATGTGATTACTCAACAGTTTTCAAAAGACCACAGAAATATGCATAAAATTAATAGAAGGGGAGTAAATGAAAGGTTAGTTTGCACCAGTTGGGAAATAAACCGAGGGGACATTTGTGCACCTGCTCCAAAAATCTGAACAAAATTAATCTGTCCCTTTTTTGGAGTAGCAACAGGCTCAGTTAATTGTGGAAATGCTGGAAGATCCTGGGAACTGCCAGTTCAACACTTAAAATCAAGACTGCATTGCCAAGAAGGTGTTAATGTCTCGCTAGCTTTTAGTGTCCCTTCTTTCACTGCTTATTTGCCCTTTGCCAGTGCTTTCTCACTAGGCACGAAGTCTCCATCAACTTGTGCTAGTCAGTCTATATGCTGTCTGGCCTGCCTTCCCTTTAACGGTGGAAACAGACAAGGCCATTTACCAGGAGAGACTGTACGTGCCGGAAAGTTGTTATTGTGCACTGGTGCCTTTGTGAAGGACTGGCAAAAAGAATAACGGAAATGGAGTTTTGAGGAGCCGCCTGGCAGGATGCCTGCTTACACCAGTTGGAGGGGAACATGGGCAGTAGGGTGCCGTGGCACTTGTGTCCTGCTTGTGGGATCCCGTGGGTGGGTGGTTGGCCACTGTTTGAACAGCATGCTGGACTAGATGGACCTTGGCCTGCTCCATTGGGGCTCATCTTACGGTCCTACAGATGTGGCACAGTGTTGTTACGTCCGTGTATTTTTCTGCAGCCAACAAGAGATGACCGTGGGTGGCTCATTAGTCCCATAGGGTCCAACCCATGGTGGACAGTGGTCGCAGCGATCATTCCAGCTTTGCTCTGTACCATTCTGATATTTATGGACCAGCAAATCACAGCAGTCATCGTGAACAGGAAGGAACATAAACTTCAGGTAAGGGCGTGCTCGGCCCACAGCAGACTGCCATGCTTATATTCTTGTTGCCGGTGGATTAAAAGGCTCAGCTTAAATGCACTAAGTCATGCTTTGGTGCCATTGAAATAAATGGGACAGGTGAGTAATAAACCACATCGCTTGCAATGGGATTAAAGCAAAGGTGGGCAACTTCTTGGCCCTCCGGTTGTTTTGGCCTACAACTCTCAGATCTTTCATCACCGGCTATGTTGGCCACGGCTGATCAGGGTTGCAAGCCAAAATAGCAGGAGGGCCACAAGTTCACTACTCTTGGATTTAATTCGGCTGATTAAGGCTGCCATTCTGTGCCCACTTACCTGGGAGCAAGTTCTGTTGAACTCAACCTGAAGAAAAGGGCACCGTATGTCTGGATCCAACCCATTTCTTGCTGGTGCACTTTATATAGATGTATTATGGGTAATCTGAGATGACTGGTTAATGTGCATAACTTCCAGCCAGTCTGCACATTCGCTATGCCTCATGGTCCTCTCCTGGAAGGAGGCTTTGGGAAATGTGCTTTGAGGAACCGCAAATCTTGACAGGAGTGTGTCCTTTCTCTGGTCACTATGCATAATCTCCAACAAGCCCGGGAATGTATTTATCTCTACCAAGTTCTGTGTGTCCTCTGGATAATATGCAGATTGTGTGATCAACATGCATAGTCTTCAGAAAACATGCCCTTTGTTTCTGTCTCGAGTTCAGTGGTGGATAGGTTATTGTCTGCAGGCCACACGCTTGCTACTGTCTATCCAGTTCAAAGTACAGTTGAAAATAAGGGGGGCAACTATCCTAGTGTGTGGAGGACAGTCCTCTAATTCTGTTCTCTGTTTGATAGGCTGAGCAACCCAAGTCTGGCTTAAGATAAAAAGCCATCAGAAAAGATAGAATGGAAGGGTTTCAACTTGTCCATCAACAATGGCACCAGGGTGCAGCAATACCATGTTAATGACTTACAGGGGTGCATCTGCCTTTCCCCCTAGCATTCATTGGTCCGTCTTCACCTAGCTGTAATGGTCACAGTTAACAGAGGAAATTTGATTTTTCCAGCAACAATGTATTGTTCCTTCTTGAAATGCAAAGGATTTGGATGGCTTAGTCTTGAATAGACAATTAAAACCTATTAAGATGTTCTCCTGATGGAGATGGGAATGTTTAGAACCAGTTTGTTGATATGGATCTATATAGCTGCCTGCAATTTTGGAGTTTCCTTGCAAGGACATGGCTCTGGGGATCCTTATGCTGAATGCATGCACTTCAGAACTTCCTTCTGCACTGCTGCTCAGTGCCTGGATAGCAGCCTGAGCAGGCATGGAGACTTCTTTACTATGGTTTGATGTATTATATTTTTATTTAAATACTAGCCTTTCTTTCTACATATGCAGCTATAAATATAAATTAGCTTTTATAAGGTTTGCAACCTCATGCTCTTTCCTGTCCTGTTTTGTGTGTGTGTGTGTGTTTGTGTGATGTATAACTGGCCATCTTAGCTGAAAGAAAGACTGTTGCTTACTGGTGTGGATCTGGAATCTGAGCTTTGCCATCTGTGGCTCTGCATCTTTGGTTGCATATGGAACATTCTCACAAACTTCCACAGCTTCCAGCTTGTCTCTGTATCTCCACAGAAAGGGTGCGGCTACCACTTGGACCTTCTTATGGTGGGCATCATGCTTGGTGTATGTTCAGTGATGGGGTTGCCTTGGTTTGTTGCTGCCACAGTCCTTTCCATCAGCCATGTGAATAGTCTCAAAGTGGAGTCCACCACGGCAGCTCCTGGAGAGCAACCTAAATTCCTGGGCATACGTGAGCAAAGAGTTACTGGACTGTTGATCTTTGTATTAATGGGCATCTCGGTTTTTATCACAGGTGTGCTAAAGGTAAAGTATGAACATTCAATTGTACATGAGGGCAATCTGTGCTTCCTTTTTGGGATAGACACATCATTGGCCTAGTTTGCATATAACATCATGGCTTGTTGAATACTAGGTGGTTGTGATGTGTGAACCTATTTGCACTAACTAATAATTATGGGTTGTTTACTACAAACAACCCAGAAAGAGAACTCATGGTTAGTTGTTAGATTGTGAACTCTGTGTTGTTTCAATTATTTATTTTTATTTATCTAAGACTTTTTAATACCGTCCACCACGGAAGTCTTGAGGCAGTTTGACAGCAAAGCAATCATGGGTTGCACTTACACAGGATCCCAAAAGCATAGTTTGTTTTGCAGGCTACAGAGTTAGAGGGCAAGACTGATAAAAACCTCAACCATTCTGCATGCTAATAATCTACCATCACAAAGGCATTTGGGATACAGGAAGGAACTGGGGAAGGAGGACGAAACAAGCAGCCTGGGGATCAAGAAAACAAACAATGGTTTGTTCAATCATCTGCTATACAAATTGTGTCTAGAACAATGAACCATGGATTAAACAACCCACAGGTTAATGTTATATGTAAACCAGGTGATTAAATAATATAGTATACTATCAATAATATACTAATAGACCTTATTCCCTTCATAGCAAAGGCTCCCAAATTATTGATGGCTCTTTTTGTTCTGCAGAAGAGCAGGAATTGAATGTCCTGCTTATACGCAGGAGACCAGAGCTGTACTATCTTAGTCTGCTCCTGGAACTACAGGCAGGCAACCTCTCTGCAGCTGCAGGATAGCTTAATTAATAATGGCCTGTTGGTGTGCTGCCCTTGATTACTAGGTTCAAGACAGCACTGAAAGGTGGTGTGGGGTCAGGAATGAAGTGGTATCATTCCATTTCAGTTCAGCCTGTGGTCTGTTCATGTCCTCTAAAACTATGACATGTTGATAAACCTGAATTAGCCTGTTCCTACTTTGCAAAAATTGCAGCCTTTCTTAATGTGATGGTAGCAGAAATTCGTTTTGAACTTGGGACTTCTTCAGTCCCAGTTCTCTGGACATGCTTGCAGCCAATGGCAGTCTCACTGGGCCCATGGCAGCCGTCCCCAATGTGATGCCCTCCAGATCTTTAGGCCTAACTTCCCTGAGTCCCGGTCGGCATGGCCAGTTATCTGTGGATGGGAGCTGTGCTCAGAAGCATCTTTTGAGCACCATCATGGAGAAGGCTGGCCTAAGACATTCACAATTTCCCTTCTGCCCCTGGGTTGGCACTGCCTTGGTTTTGTTATTTACATTACATTTTTGTTCCACTGTGAGTTTAATAAGACACAAGGGTCATGAAGCTTGCAGTGGTGTGGTGGTAGGGATACAATTCTCAAACACTCAAATACTCGTATTCAATCAGAGCTTTGCTCACAACAGTAGTGATTTTAGTGGAATGAAATCCATAATGGCCTAAAATTCTTGTGCAAGACCTATAAGGGCATGGGCAAGCCAATTTTTTTCCTGTCTAGGCTGGAGAAGAAAATGTGTGTGATAGTGATTGTAGTCTAGGACACCAGTCTCAAAAGACATAATAAGAAAGTAACCAAAATGTTTTCTTGGTCATTAAGAACAGGACAAGAAAAAAGGCAAAAAGAATCCTAAACGTGGTTACAGTGAAAGCAATTCCCACTCAGTTCAGTGGCACCTCCTTCCTAGTATGCATATTTAGGATTCAAGCTTAAGTTATAGGCACCTGTCCTTGCCAAGTCTGAGAAAAAACAGGCTAGGACTTTTTTAGAGGTGAATCCATGTTCTAGGCAGCACTTCTTTTTCTGCCTCCTTCTAGCTGTCATTTCATTGACATATAATGAAAACAGCTATACCAGTTTCTAAAACTGTTTCTTTCTGGTTGCTGTGTGTGCTTCTGTAATGCAGAGTAATGCTTCTTAGCCCTAGCTGACTCTTTTGGCTTCCCAGAACTGCTTTGAGAATTTTGCATCATAGTAGTTAAGCCTTTAAATGACACTTACCGTATGACATTGTGAGTGCTTCAAAATTAATAGAAAAACTGGAAAAGAGAGAGGATCAGTGGAGACATGGAAAGGAACATGTGGCTAGGGTGATTCAGGAAACTCATGCTAAATGCTGAATGTCTGGAATTATTGTCCAATAACCAGAATACAAAACCAGTGTACTGAGTTTACAAATGTCAAAGTGATAAATCTGGTAGGTAGAGAATTGGATTTGGTCTTGCAACTGGGACTTCCAGATTCATATCCCATCTCTGTAATTGGGCCATCAGCTCCAGTTCTTCATGGATAAAATAAGAATAGTGGTTCTAGCATTTTATTGTAACTGGTTTTTTTTTTAGCTTTTTAACTTGCTTTTAAAATGTTTGTATGTTAAAGATTTTATAGCCTGAGTTTTAATGTTAATATTTTTGAACCATCCAGAGAGGCTGTTGAGCAGTTTAGAAATGAAATGAATAAATAAAAGCTCTCTGTTGTTCCAGTTCATACCGATGCCTGTCCTTTATGGAGTGTTCCTGTACATGGGTGTTTCGTCTCTTAGAGGAATTCAGGTGCGTGTGTTATGGACCTCAGGACACAGACCTTATCTATGAAGCAGGCCGAAATAATCTGGATCAGAGACCACATCCTCTGGCAGGGTTGTAGGGTGAGGTTCCCTGGCAAACTCCCATCTGTTAAAGGAAGAAATGCCCCCTTTCCTCGTGTTACCTTCTCTTTATTGAGAGCAGATCTTCCTCCTCTCCCAGCGGAGGTTAAGTCTGGGCTTTGTCCAGCTAACACTCCCCTGTGCTCGGCTGGGGAACGTTCAGGTAGGAACCTTTGCTGTAGAACGGTTGGCACCCCTGCCCTGGAGAGAGGAAGAGCTGGGATAGGGCTTCCATGCAACCCACGCTGCTCTGGTTTGGCAGCTTCAGCTGCAGCGTTTCATCTTGCTTCCTGATGGGCAGGAATGGGGCAGGGGGCAGCCTGGGGCTGGAGGGTGGTGGTGTGTGTGCAAAGCTGTGGAAAGGGCAGGAAAGCCCTGTTGAAGTCTGTGTTGTTAAACTGTTTCATTTAATGGTGCTTTATAATTTTACACTGAATTTTATTGTCGAATGTTGCTTGGGAAGGCCATGACCCTTCTATGTTGTGCAGAGATATATTAAATAAGGTAGATTACAGAAGAGTCCGATACAATATTGGGCCTGGAGTTCATTCAGAATATTTATGTGGATAGATACTTCTAGATGAAATATTCGAATGAGCTGAACTTGTCTTTAGAAAAACACACTTCAGTTTATGAGCACAAGAAATGTATATACGACTTGTACCTGAATCAAGAAAGATCAAATGGTTTGTGAATGGCTGTTTATAAATCAGCTGCTCTATAATCAAAGCACCGTTTCCGATGCACTATCTCATCTACTGTGCATTCTTCCCAGTTCTTTGATCGCCTGAAGCTCTTTGCAATGCCAACCAAACACCAGCCAGACTTTATTTATTTGCGACATGTTCCACTGCGAAAAGTGCACCTCTTCACTGCCATTCAGCTGACGTGTCTCGTCCTCCTCTGGGTCATTAAGGCATCTCGTGCGGCGATCATCTTTCCTATGATGGTAAACACAATTAAGGCTGAACCATTTCGGTCATCCTGCAGGTAGAAGTTTAAATCTCCCAAAGGTTGCCTTGGGATGCATCCTACACATAGGCAATGTGAAGAAGCCCCGTTTAACCCAGCTTGTGCTGCAACTAACCTAAACATGTTCAGAAAGAAGGGGGAAAGCCTAAGCTTCTCAGCGTGCTCCAGCCAGAGTGAAGGTGTTTTTCCCTGTGTAAACATATACAGATTTGGGACTTCAAATTATTTTTCCAGTTTCTTAGTGTTTATCAGTCAGGTTGGAAAGTGTATTATAGCAGTCATATGTGAATGCATTTGAGCTGTGCACAAATAGCAAAATTAATTGCTATGTTAATTTAGGTAATTAAAGGAATTGATATGGGTGGGGTGTGGGAGCTTCAGCTGCATCGGCAACTTGACTGCAAATGTAAGCTTGGACTCCGATCCGGCTTGTGTATCCTGGCCTGGTTGCTGGCAGCAGCCCCCTCTGTTCCCTAGCAAAGGGTGGGGTGACGGAGGAGAGACCTTCTCAGTCGGGACTGCATTTCCTCTCGGTGTCAGCCGAAGATGTTTTGTACCTGATGCAGAACCCAAGCAGTGTCTTTACACTCGGGCAAACCATTTAAGAAACACTTGTCGCCTCATTCAGACATCAGTTTCTGCCACCTTCTCCTCCCCTCATCCTGTGCCTTTGCCTGCAGCGAGTCGCTGTCCCCGCCTTCCCCTTCAGAATGGTCTGTTGGGGCTGTTGCTGATTATCTGATCTGGGTTACAGACATGCTGCTTCCCCTTCCCCTTCCCTTTTGTTCAGGACTATCGTTTCGCATTCTAGCAGCTAGTTCAGGGGAGGAACTGCTCCTGTTTACACACCTAAGGATCCACCTAAGGATATGCTCCTCAGGGTAGCCTATGGCATTTTGAAATTCCACTCCCCGTGTCTCTGAGTCACCTGTTACCCTTTCCCTGAGGTACAGTCTGAATTATACGTCTGAATTACAGTTGCTAGTGTGCTCAAGGAGGACGGTGGGCAGCTGTATTCGTGCTGATGTGAGCCTTTGCTATAGGCAGTTTGGGGATGAATGCAGATTTCTGGGAGCTCTAACGTGGTTGCTTAGTAACTCACAATATGGTGCTGCAAGAATGTGCACAGGTGGGTGTCTCTGTTGCCATGAAGTAAAACCTTACTCCCTTACCTTTGTAACGTGAAACCTTTGTTCCCCTACCATCTGGAAACAGATTCTGCAGGAGTGAAAGGTCTGCAGTTGATTGTGTACTTGGTTGCTTTCTCTGCATGTGGTAACTTTTAAGTACCTACTGAGCCTTCGGGTTTTCTGACTCTATCCCCTCCCTGTGGCAGGACCAGTGTCCACTGTTCCTTCTTGTCTTTCTGGCAATTTCACTAGCATCATGAATGGACTAAGGGTTACAGATAGGAATGCAAGAGAAATATGAAATGACTTCAGATTCCTTTGAATTTGACCCATCTATTCTGCAATGGCCTGGCATCCGCAGAGTTGCATAGAGTCTGAGAACTGTTTTTTTTAACTTTTCCAAACTGTGTGCAAATTCAGTCATATTAAAATACAAAACTTTACCGGAGAATAGGCTGATATAAGCACCATTTAAAAATACCCTCAGTGTTCTACGCAACTCTGATCTTTCTACATCCTCTGCTGCATAGCCATCTCTTGTGTATGCTTATCAATGTGCAGGTGGGGAATATATGATACCTGGTTACCCACAAAGCACACATGGAAAGAATTAAAATTGGTGCATCCCCAGTTGCAGTTTTGCTTCCATAGATTTAGCTATGGGAAAACCTCACTGTGCAGCTGGTATAAGGCAAACTTGCTCCCTATAATGAAGGCTCCTAAAAGAAAAGAAACAAAAACGTGCTAATTGATCTGTCAGTTGTACAGGCAGTCCCCCAGTTACGAATTAGTTCCATTCTCGAGAAAAAAAAATCACCTTTAACTTGAATTTATATGTGGGACAGATCTCATATAGTTGGCTCTCTGCATCTGGGGGGGTTAGCAGTGCAGGACCTTGTGAAACTTGAAAAGCCGCTAATGTCTCTAGTCTCCTCTCATCTCTGCAGCAAGGAATGCCAGACAGGTTTTCCTTTCTGGATGGGCAGAACAGGAAGGACCTCTTTGGAGTCCCTCCCTCTCTCCCCTTTCGCTTCTTCTCTCTCCACGGTGATGATGATTTCCTGCAGTAATTGTTGAAAAAAAAGTTAATAGGCTTTATGGCAGTTCATTTATAAGTATGAGTTGTTCTTAACTCAGACATTCATAACTCGGGACTGCCTGTATTTTGTTTGTATTTATTTTATTTATTTATTTTCCGATTTATATCCTGCCTTTTTCCTACAAAGGGCTCAAGGCAGCTTACATCATTCTCCTCCTCCATCTTGTCCCCACAACAACAACCCTGTGAGGTAGGTTGGGCTGAGCGTCTGTGACTGGCCCAGAGTCACCCATGGCTGAGCGGGGACTCGAACCCAGGTCCTCTGAGTCCCAGTCCCATGCTCTTCACCACTACACCACACTGGCTCTCAGTTGTGAACTGTGCAGTTGTGAACTGTGCATGCTTATGAAGTGTCATAGTATAAGCTCTTTTACTGCTCCCTTTCTTATTTGTCTTCTCTTTACAATTAGGTTTTGGCATTGGTCTTTGTCCGGAAGCTCATGGATGTCTGCTTTGAAAAGCGGGAACTCAGCTGGCTTGATGACCTCATGCCTGAGAGCAAGAAGAAAAAACTAGATGATGCAAAAAAGGTGGCAGATGAACAAGAGGTAAACAAACTTATTCCTACATTTATATTTCAGTTCTTTAGAATCTAAGATTGCTACAGCTTGGTGTTGGGCAGAAACTAATTACATTTTAATGCAAACTTACTACATTTCTCATGTGAAAACAACTGTGTAAACTGAAACTAAGGTATCCTTCAAAATTCACACTTCTCCGAATTTTGCAATGATATTCTTCAAAAAAAGATGTATAGAAATAGGGATATTAGGGGGGAAAAAAGCTTTGTGTTGGGAAAACTGCTTTCAGAAACATTAAGCAAGAATGCTTAACATCCATATATTGGCAGAAATGTGTATAAAACGCATGTTTTGGTAGACATTTTAATACATTTCCATGCAAAGTGTTAAAAAATCAAAGTTTGGAATAAACAGAAACTAAGTTTGGAAAAATGAGAAATGTCAGAGAAACCAAAAAGGACAGATTTGTCCATCCCTAGCTACAGTATGGTCATGCACCAGCCCCCAAATCCTGCTGCACTTCTTTATCAAGGGAGCTTTTGCCATGCTACATCCATGACTCTTCTTTCTTCACAACTCTTTTTTATGGGTCATTTGATGAATCTTTATAATTTTCAACCCTAGACTTGTACAGGTGTGTGTGCATTGGCTTTCTGCATGCGGTCAGGACCCACACAAAATGCAGAGACAGAATGTGTACATGCACACCCAAACGCACACCCTCCATCAGGGCTGTGAGACCTTTTCTAGCCTTGGTTCAGTTTTGGAGAAGTTTTTGAGGCCAGTGATGGATGAGGCTGAAGCCAAAGGGCAAAGAGGGTGGGTCAACATTACACTTCTCCATGTTGTAATCTAAAAGTTCTTCTGCCAGTTATTAAGTCTTAGAGGCATTTCAACCTTTCAGAAGGGGCGTGGGAACTGCACAAAAGACAGGCGGGTTCTACCCTTAAATCTTGCTAAATGTTATGAACAAGGGTTGATCATAACTGAGTCTCTGTGCATGCTGAGGAAGTTGGGGTTTCTCTTTCTTGGAGTTCAGTGAGAGTAGCTGGACCAAGTTTTGCTGTGCAGGTATGGAGAGTTGGAGTACAATGCATGATTTGCTCACATGTTAAAAAAAATGTGTGTTAAACAGGCATCTCAGAAGATGGTGGATGCTCCTCAACAGACTGTAATTGACATTCCTGTGGTAAAAGCAAAATATCTGACAGTCCCTGGAACTGAAGAACCTCAACACCAGAGTATCTCACTAAAAAATAACCGGTAAACATTCCTAAATTAAACCAGAGCAATCTATTACCTTGCCTTGACCACAGACCTTTTCTGTGCCTCCCTTATTGGGGAGATCAGTCACCCAACCTACTAACAATGCTTTTGCTAGGAATTTGAGGAATGGTTTTTGAATCTGGAGGGGGGTTGATGTAGTGGGAACTTTGGCTTTGGCAAGTGTGGGTTCAGTTTGCCTGACCACCATAGCAGAACATCAAAAAAGCTTTTCATAATCAAGGTTAGACTTTCCTTAGCCACAAAGTTTGTCACTATTCTGCTAATGAATGTCTTGAGTCGGGGTTTAGTTTCCGTCTTAGGCACTGAGGAGTCCTTCACTTGGTATATGCTGGGTGCAGCCCTATGATCCTCTATCACAGTGGCCATGGGAGAGATTGAATATTCAGCTCTGAGGATGGAGACTGAGTGGTCCAACCTCAGAGTGCCTCTCCCACCCCTTGCAGAAACTCTGACAGTCTTTTCCACTCTGACTTCGGAGCTTTGGACTTGGAGACGGTCTCTGGGAATGTGGGAACCAGTGCCCAGATTACCCACCCTGCACAAATGAGGATAGCTGTGCCAGTCCTGGAACTGGAATAGTACTTTCTAATGGTGCTTCAGGGAGGGAACAGGGTAAAGCAAGGCCCTCCCCACAAAAAAGGAAAAATGGAAAGAACCTGGAAAAGAAATCTGTTGTACCAGCCTCAGACCAGCAGGCCTTGGATATTTTATTTATTTATGTATTTATTTAAACCATTTTATGCTGCCCCATTTGCAAAAAGGTTCGGGGCGGCTTACAACAATAAGCTGGAGGCTCCAATGGGAAGGCTACTGGGAGTGCCCCGTTATTAGTTAATGTGCATGTTTATACAGAAGGCTGACTCTTTCTCATCACAGAACAGAATTCAGTGTTCTCAGAGTAGGCTGAACTGGAGTTCTTACATTTGGAAGTGGTCGTCCTATTCTACTAATTCATTTTCAAAATGAATATTTTAAAGTACAGACTAACAACAGTGTATGTGAAAAAGGGTGAGGTGTTGAAAGAATCCAGGGGGCACATGGCTGCCTGTACGCAGCAGGAGCAAAGAACGGAAAGTCTTTCCCTATTGTTGGTTAAGCAGAATTTTAGTACATCCATTCTCAGGGGAGCTGAGAGTGCAATGAATGCTATTGCTCCATTTTAGTAGTACAGCAGTCTGCTGAGAATCATTGCTTCAGTACATTCTTAATAATAATTAATACATAATTAATAGTGCATACCTATACATATTCACTCAGAGGCAAGAAGTCTCGTTGATTGAAAGGTAGCTTATTTGTTACTAAATTTGTGCAAATCAGCAGCTGATGTACTCCAGAATTCTCTTTTAAATAACATAGATGATCAGGAACACCTATATCAGAAAGTGTTTAATGGGTATCAGAGAATCGACAATATTTATAGCACATTACAGTGCCTTTAATTTCTCGGTCCTGGATTTCAATCACTCACTTAAATTGTTTATTGCAGGCTTGATCCTGCAGACATTAACATCTCGGATGAGATGTCTAAGACTGCAATGTGGAAGACCCTCACCATGAATACAGGAAAGCTCTAAATCCAGAGGGAAGAAGGTAGGTACCCCCCATCCCCCATCCACCGGGAGGGCAGGCTGGCCTTGCCCACAGCACATGCAATCTGCAGGATAGCTTGCTTTATTTATTTATTTGGGTATTTTTATCCCATCCAATTATGTTGTGCTTCTCTGGAGGGCTTACAAACAGGACACCCAATAAATACATATAAACCCATAATAATGCATGACTGAGCATAAAACATAGTTAAAATATTTAAACATTAAAATTATGGGAAAATAAAAATGTCTTGACATGGTGCTGAAAAGCATATAATGACGCTGCCAGGCAGACCTCCCTGGGGAGCGCATTCCACAGCCAGGGCTAAAAAGGGTTAAAATAAGATCGCAAGTGGCATGCTCAGCATTGTCCCTCCTGCATCGACTAGTCTGTGCTGAATGTGGTTGGATGCAGGCAGGCTAAAAGCACTATCCCCCCTGAAGTGGGGGAAGTCCATTGCAATCCTGGAGTTGCTCATGAAGGAAGATGCCTTTCTGGGCACCATTTGGAGCTGTCAGTTCTGGAAGCACCCCCTGTGCTGCTTGGGGTGTTCCCGTGTCCAAAGGAGACGCCCACTTGTCAATAGTGGCACCTAAGCTCGGGGATCATGCCACATTTTTGAGCTTTGTGGGGAGGAAAGGAAAACTGGAAACGGGAGGAAATGGACTTTGATTTGTTCCCTCAAACATCCCCAGTTGGTGTACGTATCTCGAATGACATATGTCGCTTCGCAGATTTGCCATTCCAGCCTCTCGGCTTTGGACGAGGAGCAGCTGCACAAGAAGATGACTCAGGGAAGAGCCAGGATGTCCAGGCAAGGGAGAAATACTTTTGCAATGGAGAAGGGCGCACACAAGCCAACTGCCCTGACACGTCATACGAGTAACTGGGTTCATATTAAAGCCATTCAGAAGTGTTTTGATTATCCTTTCTGTGCTTCAGTGGACATTCTAATTATCTTCAAACCAGCAAATCAAGACGCACACGCAGTCAATGAAAGTTCAGTGTTTACGCCTATGTGTGTGCGTGTATGTAAGCACACATTTGCTTTGTCGCAGTTTCTAATTTGTAGAGGAACTGCTGCAGCTTCATACTTCCTTTCCCCCCCCCCGTGTCTGTTTCTTAACTATTTAAACTTTGAATGTACAACAACAGCAATGACATTACACCGCAACTACTGCTCTCCTTTATTTGGGTGGTACTCTCCATACGTACTTGTTCTTTGCAAGACTACCAGTTCAGTAAGCGTTTTTAGCTGAGTTTTTACAGTGAGTAATTTTCTATAGTTATCACAGAAGCAATGGATAAGAGAGGGCGTGATATAAAAGCTTACAAGCAGCTAGGTGAAAAGTCCCCATGACTATTCATTTTGACATTTTTAAATGAAGTGGCTTAAATCACATTCAGCTCCATCTGTCATTTTTTTTTATTTTGCAGCTACACTTCCAATAAGATCTTAATTCATCTAAACATTTAAATGTTTCAGTTGCAAAATATTAGGACGTGGGCTTTCTCCCTCTCTTTCTCACTCTGTGTGTGTATGCGTGGTCTGGGAGAATCCAGCCAAACTATTGACTTCAGTAGTCTAAATGAGCTAGAGGGACAGAGGAGGATGATTGGCTCTGATGTCACAGTTGGCATAAGCTTGATGGGTACCTGCAGCCAGTGTAGTATGGGGCAAAATTGAGCTGATAAGGAGAATCGGGTGCTTGTGGCTGGAAATATGAGCAGAAAGTTTGAGCTCTAAAGGGAGTACAGGAAGCAGGTAGCACAAGCTGCCCCAGTGGAGATTTGCTCCGATGGGAGTCTCTTGGCCTAGGAATCCCAGTGGCTCGGAGCATCGTTGAGAAGATTCTTCTATCCTCCTGAAATGCATAAATTAAAGCAAATTGATCTATTGAACAGAGATTTGTTTCTTGATAATTCTGTATTTTTTATTATCATTCAGAACATGGGGACCCCTGGTGGGCCTTTACAGGTTGAGAAATAGTTCCTGAGCCTCTCCGAGTGTGAACTGGCAAAAGAATAACCAATGGGGTGCAGGTGGATTAGCAGAAGAGCCAGGATGCCGGCTCATTTGGGCATGTGGCTTGCTTTGATGATGGGGTCCCGGGGCAGGCTGCAAGGAAACCAACCAACATCTGCAGGAACTAAGAATTTGCCCCATTGGCCCCGTACACCATCCACCAGCAGATAGGCACAAAACCCAAGGAAGGCGGCTGAGGATTGCATAAGAGGAAGGGGGCCATGCTTCCCCACTGTGTGCACCTCAAAATACAGGGTTGTAGGCACTTTCGATAGCCCTGAATCTCAGGTCTCTAGCTGAGTTTCAGGATCCTCCTCAAGACCCAAAGAAGTTACACAATTTGAAAGAGATGAGAAAATGGAAAAGCAGGCTTTCCAGAGCATGTGTCTTGGCTTCAGCCCTCTAGTGGCAAGCAAGAGTTGTTCCAAGAGAACCAGGCTTTGGTTTGATTTCTCCTCTGGCCCAACCCTCTGCAATCGCCAGCTGATTGTTCTCCATAACTGTTGAGGTTAGATCCCACCAAGGTCGAGGAAGCGTTCTCCAACCTGGCCGCAATCCCTGCATCCCTGCTGCAGCCTTTTCTGGATGGGATGCTCAGTGTCTTTCCAAAGCCTTGCTTATGTTGAGTATGTACTTCAGCATGCTCAAAACCAGAGTGTGTATGTACTGAGGACATTTTAGAAACAGAGCTTAGATGAAAGTACAAATGCCAAACGTGCTTTAACAGGCCTTATTTGTAGAGCAGCCGCCCAACAACCTGGTGCTCTCCAACAGTTTCAGGCATTCATTTCTATTGATTATATTTATATCCTGTCATTTTCCACCTCGCAAGGCACCCAGGCTGGCTTAAACAATAATCCTCCCTCTCTCAGTTTTACTCTCACAGCAATCTGGTGATGTTATTAACTCCCATCAGGCCGTCCAGCATGGCTAATGGTCAGACATGTTGGGAATTGTAGTCCAAAATAGTTTTGCTGGAGAACCCCAGAATGATAAGCTTTGTGATGAGGAGAATGTGGCTGTTCTGCTTGGCATTGTCCTCCTCCTCACCAAGTTGTACTTCTCAAGATTCATTGGAGAATGTCACACAATTTTAATTGACCTAAAACTTATGCTGCTTGGCAAGTATAGGGTTTGTGTGGTGGAAAGCCGGTGTGGTGCAGTGGTGAAGAGAGTGGGACTTGAACCCAGGTGATCAGGGTTCTAGTCTCTGCTCAGCCACAGAGCCAACAGGATGACTTTGGGCCAGTCACTCACTCTCAGCCCAGGTCACCTCACCTCACCGGGTAGGTGTTGTGGGGATTAGATTGAGAGCAGGAGGAACAGCATGATGCAAGCCTCTTTGAGTGCATTAGAAAAAAGTGGAATAGAAATCTAATAAACAAATAAGTATAGATAAACTCACAGTGCGTGTTAATAGCATTATTAACCCATGAGAATTATTAGCCATTCTATGAGCAATATTTAAATATTCTTAGAAATTTTCACAGGAAATCCTTTCTGATCTACATTTCCAACAGGTATGCATGAACCAAAACTGATCCTTGAGATACTGCCACAGAGCTACCCTTTGCAGAAATGGTGCCTAGGGGACCATGTCAGCGATTCAGCCCCAAAGGTCTAGTTTTACATTAACCCATCTATTTCTTCCCTGTGCCCTTTTACATTAAAACAATGCCCCTTAGTGCCATCATGCTGGACAGGACGGACCACAGGTCTGCGATTACGGTGCAGTTCTGTGATCTTCGGGAGTGTATCTGAGAGGCCATAGGTTAGCTCAGCTCTCGCCTCTGAGAGCGGAGATCCTACCGCTGGACCTCCCAGCCTCTATGGCCGCCTTTGCAACCCTCTGCCTCTCCAACACCGGCACTTCTATATCAGAGAAGTGGGAAAGGAGGCAGATGAGGTGGTGTTCCCTGGGTGAGGCTTTAGCTCCTCCCAGTCCTGAAGACATGACCCCAGCATGTGGGGAGAAGTACCCTGGCCTTGGAGCTAGCATAGCTGATTCCTCTCCCATCCATACCAGTGGAAGGCAAACAGTTCAAGGTGGAAAGAAAAAACCCAGCAAACAGAAAAACGACTCTTCCGAGACACCATTCCTCCCTCTTTTGCTTCCTGCTGGATTTGCACTGTCAGAACCTCAAGTGCATCAGAGGCCCAGGTGTCATAGCTGTCCCATAGACAGGTAGGATTGTTCCATTAAGCTGCAGTTCTATGCCCAGTCACTTGCAAATAACCCCACTGAACACCAGCACGTTGACCTATTCTTTGGAGTGCAGCCTTTATGTTCAAATGCACTTCCATCCTTTTTTGGGTGTGGGGGAAAGGAGACACATTTTGAGTGTTTTTCTTCGAGCTGCAGCAACTTATTTTTATATACAACATGGTTCCTGTGAAAGAATGGCAAGAAAAGTCAAAACATTATAGGCATCGCATATCTTACCTGCTCACCCCAAATTTCTTTCCTTTTACAAGGCATACTGCATTGCCCCTTCCTTGGATTCCACCATGCTGGAACAAGTTGTGTTTGTATATTTTCCTTGTAAATTTTTGTTCCAACACCCAGAATGAAGATATAAGGCTCAGGCACTAGATTGGAAAGAAGACAACAATTTTCTTGACAAGCAGCACAATGGGCACTGACTGTCCACAGTCCCCCCAACAGAGTGTGTGTACACCTGCCACAAAGGTGACTGCCAGCTTGTTAACCCTTTTGGCTGAGTCCCAGAGCACGTCACTATATCTCATTGCCAGTCTGGTTTAGGGCGCAAGGGAGGCAAGAACAGGAGCTGCGAGCACTCACACGAACCCCACTCTTTCTGCCTGATTGTGCCGGCCCTGGTTCACAACCTCTTGCTCCCCCCTCTAAAGAGTGCGGGCAAATTCCCCACCCCAACTCCTGCTCGCCCCAGTCACGGACTCTTCACATGGTGGAAGTGATCCTATTTTCTGTCTACC